TACTAGAAATCAATTAAATAGAAAAAAGATAATAAAGAAAATCAACAAAGTCAAAAACTGGTCCTTTGAAAAAGATCAACAAAACTGACAAACTTTTACCCAGATGAATCAAGTGTTAAAAAAGAGAACACAAATAACCAATACGTGGAATGAAAAAAGGGTTCCCTCCACAGACACTACAAATAATAAAAAGGATGAGAATAATGTGGACTTTATACCAACAATTTGATGATGTTGATGAAATGGACAAATTTACTTTAAAAAATAAATAAGGCAGGCAGAAATTTAAAAAATGGACAAAGTGATTGAAAAGTACAATTTAACAAAAATGACACAAAAACAAATACAATTTTTTTTTTTTTTTTTTGAGACAGAATCTTGCTGTTTCCCAGGCTGGAATGCAGTGGCATGATCTCTGCTCACTGCAACCTCCACCTCGTGGGTTCAAGCGATTCTCCTGCCTCAGCCTCCTGAGTAGCTGGGACTACAGGTGCTGACCACCATGTCCAGCTAATTTTTGTATTTTTAGTAGAGGCAGGGCTTCACCATATTGGCCAGGCTGGTCTCCAACTCCTGACCTCAAATGATCCGCCCACCTAGGCCTCCCAGAGTGCTGGGATTACAGGCGCGAGTCACCATGCCCAGCCAGAAACAGAAAGTTTAAATTCTCGGCCAGACGCAGTGGCTCATGCCTGTAATCCCAGCACTTTGGGAAGCCAAGGCGGGCGGATCACGAGGTCAGGAGATCGAGACCATCCTGGCTAACACGGTGAAACCCTGTCTCTACTAAACAAAAAATAAATAAATAAATAAAAAAATTAGCCGGGCGTGGTGGCAGGTGCCTGTAGTTCTAGCTACTCGGGAGGCTGAGGTAGGAGAATGGCATGAACCTGGGAGGTGGAGCTTGCAGTGAGCCAAGATCGCGCCACTGCACTCCAGCCTAGGCGACAGAGCGAGACTCTGTCTCAAAAAATATAAATAAATAAATAAGATAGATAAATAAATAAATAAATTCTCTATCAGTATCGACTAAGGAAATTATATACACTATCAAAAATCTTCCCCAAGGGAAAACCCATGCCCAAATAGGATAGGTTTCACTGGTGAATCCTATCAAATATTCAAGTATGAAATAATGAGGATCTTATATAATTTTCCCCCCTTTGGAGAAGGAGTTTTGCTCTTATTGCCCAGGCTGGAGTACAATGGTACAATCTTGCCTCACTGTTCCAGGTTCAAGAGATTCTCCTGCTTCAGCCTCTGAGTAGCTAGGATTACAGGCATGCACCCCATGCTCGGCTAATTTTATATTTTTGGTAGAGACGAGTTTTGTCCATATTTGTCAAGCTGGTCTTGAACTCCTGACCTCAGGTGATCCGCCCACCTCAGCCTCCCAAAGTGCTGGAATTACAGGCGTGAGCCACCACGCCTGGCCATAAACTTCTTTTTAAAATAGAGAAGGAAACATGCCTTACTCATCTTATGAGTCCATGATAACCCTAATACCAAAACCTGATGAAGATATTACAAAAAAGAAAATTACAGACCAATATCCCACTTCAACACAGATGCTAAAATCCTTAAGGGATCATCATGACCATATTGGGTTTACCCCAAGAATGCAAGATTGACTTCATATTTAAAAAGCATCAAAGTAATACTTCATAAACACAATAAAGGAGAAAAACAATATGATTAAACTGATGCAGAAAAATTGTTTGATAAAATTCAACACACATTCATAATAAAACTCTCAGAAAACCAGGAATAGAAGGGAATTTCCTCAGTCTGATAAAAGGCATTTACAAAAACATTACCATTTTTTAAAGCTGAATGAGTGAGTTGTCTTCTCTAACATCAAGAATAAGACTAAGATGCTCATTTTACCACTTATATTCAGGATTGTACTTGAGGTCCTCATGGTTTTAACAAAGCAGGAAAATGAAATAAATGGCATAAATTTCAGAAAGAAAGAAAAGTGACCCTATCTGCAGATGATATGATAGAAAATCCCAGAGAATCTGCAAAACAAGAACTAAAACTACCAAGTTAGCAAAGATACAAAGTTAATATATAAAAAGCAATTTACATTAGCAGCAAATAATTGGGAAATATAATACAATTTTGAAAATAAATCCATTTATAACAGTGCCAAAAAACATAAAATACTTAGGAATAAATTACAAAAGACATCCAAGATCTCCATACTGAAAAAATACATAGATATGTCATATTAATGAACTGGGTAACTCTATATTGTTAAGATAGCAACTCCCCCAAACTGAACTATAGTCAATACAGTCCCAATCAAAATCTCAGCAGTTTTTCTTTATACAAATTGACAAGCAGATTCTAAAATGTAAATATAAATGCAAATCAACTAAAATAAAGTAATTTTCATAAAGAAAAGCAAAGTTGAGCCAGGTGCCATAGGTCATAGGTCATGCCTATAATCTCAGCATGTTGGGAGGCTGAGACGGGCAGACTGCTTGAGCCCAGGAGTTCCATACCATCCTGGGCACATAGTGAAACCCTGTCTCCACAAAAAAAGACAAAAAAATTAGCCAGGCATGGTGGCGCACACCTGTGGTCCCAGCTACTTGAGAGGCTGAAGTGGGAGGACTGCTTGAGCCTGGGAGGTTGAGACTGCAATGAGTCATGATCAGGTGACAGAGTAAGACCCTGTCTCAAAAAAAAGAAAAGTTTGAGAACTCATCCTATCTGACTTCAAAACGTACTATAAAGTGATAAAAATGAAGACAGTTTGCTATTGTGGGAAAAAAAAAACACAAAGGAAGGGCTACAACAGAGCATCCAGAAATAGACCCACACATACATGGTCAACTGAGTTTCCAAAAAATTGCCAAGGCGACTCAATTATGAAAGATTTTTGAACAAATGGGGCTGGATAGATATCTACATGGAAAAAGTAAACACCTACCCCCTATCTCACACCATTTACAAAAATTTTCTTCCAATGCATCAGAGACCTAAATCCGTAACATTTCTAAAAGAAAACAGGAGAAGACAGGTAAGATGAGCCTGATTTGCCAGTTTAAAGGCGAGCCTGCTGGTCAAATCTGAGATAATTGAACACAAAATAAATAAGGACAGTAGTAGGTTATATCCCACTAAATAAAATTGGAATCCCTGAGTCTTTATTGATAATCTTTAAAAAGTAAAGAAATATGTAAACAGAAGGGAGGGTGCCTGCCTACAATAAGACGTAGACTAATATAAATGAATAGGTAGAGTTAGAAATTATTATTTTGCAACCATTATTGCCAACACTGGTTTGGGCCAGGAGTCATCCACAAATGCGAAATATAGAGGGGTAAGTCTTAGGAGAAGCAGGACATCTGTATGTCTCAAAGCAGCTCCCACATTTATTTGTTAGTTGGAAAGGAAAAATAAATAAATAAATGGCATTATACAGTGAAGAGACCAAACAATCTAAATTATTATCACCAGGCTGGGCATGGTAGGTAAAGCCTGTAATCCCAGTACTTTGGGAGGACAACGCTCACTTGAGGATCACTTGAGGGCAGGAATTCAAGACTAGCTTGGCAAAAAATTTTGAAAAATACAAAATTAGCCAGGCATAGTAGTGCATGCCTGTAATCCCAGCTACTTGGGGGGTTGAGGCAGAATTGCTTGAACCTGGGAGATGGAGTTTACAGTGAGCCAAGATTGCGCCACCACACTCCAGCCTGGGCAAAAAGACTGTATCCAAAAAAACAAAAAAAAAAAAACCAAAAAAAACCAGAAACAAAAAAAAATCACCAGTAAAAGGCAGATGGACATTCTGCCCCACGCATGATTTGCTAGCCTGAGGAATATTCTGGCCAGAGGCAGATCACCTGAGTCCCACCATAAGGAAACATAAGACAAACCCAAACAGAGGAACATTATTCAAAAGTGTCAGTATTAGGATACACAAAGCCTTTTGGAGACTAAACAGACACATCAAATAAATGCAGTCCATCATTCTGTACTGATCCTGTCATAGAGGTAGAAAAAATGCCACAAAGGACATTACTGGGACGATTGACAAAACTGAAATTGGGCTTTAGAGGAAAAATGAAAGCTCTGAGGTTTATCACCGAACTGTTAAATAAAAAGATACTCTTTTTCTTAAGAAATGAACACTGATCTATAACAAGGCAAAGGGATGTATCCAGCTTACGCTCACAACTGGTTCAGAAAATAAATAATATGTAGGGTCTGGTAGAAAATAAAAAAATACAAATGCTAACATGGAAAAATGTTTAAAATCTTATTTAAAAAATCAGTGAATCTGGGTTAAAGGCACCCAGGAGAGTACCACTTTTCTTGCAACTTTTCCAGAAGAACTCATCTCAAAATAAAAAGTTTAAAAAAAAAGTAGTAGTGGAGGAAATAATGGGAGAACATGACACTTGGAATCAGAGTCCTTGAGTCCTATTTCCTATGCACATTTGCATGCAATAAACCACAACCTCTCTGACTTTATTACATGGTTAGCACCTGCCCTATGGATTCCACAGGGTAGTTACAGGATGGGAGAAGATGAGGACATGAAAATGACCTGAGACCTGGGAAAGTGACACGACTGTGTAATGGAGTTGGGAGATAGGAGGCAAGGTTGTAAAAAATCCTAGTTATAAAATCGGATAATAAAAATCATTATGTAGTCGTCGTCTTTGTTGTCATCTAACTACTTAACATTCCATTGTGAGAGGAGCAAATGTACACTGGCCCTGTCTCCCTTCCTGGAGGTGCAGGTTCAGGATCAGCCACCAGCACCTTCCGACAGCAGCATCCCCACAGGGCAAGTGGGAAAGAGGACACGGCAGACACAGAGAGCTCTATCGAAACTACTTACATGGGAAACAGGAAGGATGGAAAACAGCTGCACTAGGCTCAAATCCCACATTTCTCTAAACCATGGTTTGGAAGAAAAACCATTCCAACAATTTCAAAAAACAATCCACATTTGACTTAAAGGGACCACGTCTTACCGATTTGTGATGACGTCATCCCAGATGTTCATTGGGTCCATTTTAGCATCTGGATATCTGTTTGTCCAGGTGTTCAGAAGTCTCTTAAGGGGAACTTGAGATGATAAATTGCCTAAAAATAGTATTAGAGGGTGACTATACCCACAGCTCAATTATAAGACCAAATGACAAAGTAAGGTCATTATCAGTAAATAGAAAACTCAGACTTCTGCCCAAATTACAAAAAAGTCCTTTCTTTCACAAAAGGACACAAAGTTACCATACTAAATTTAATGTATTCTAACATTTAAACTCAATTGCTTAAGGATGGAGAAATAAACATGCACAAATTCTTTTTACATTTATTACAGGTCTGCAGTCCATCTGTAATATCAAAATCTAAAAAGCATTGATAACTAAAAAGATTTTCATAGGGTTATAGCAAATTTTCTTGGCAAAAAAAAAAAAAATCTGATCTTCACTGGTATAGGGCTACTTAGTCTTTGTTTATGGCATCAATGTGAATATTCGTAACTTAAGCTGGAGAGTTATAGAATACTGTCCTAGTCCCTGGCGTGTACACAGGTAATATTTCTAGTGTCCAAAACATTCTGGCCTCAAGGGTCTCAGAAAAGAGATTCATAATAATCTTTATGAAACTGAAAATTCACATTGCTAATGTGTTTTCTTTCTGTTGGAGGAAAACAGCAGTCAGGAACACAAGCTTAGATAAGACAGTCCTGGGTTCAAAATTTAAATCTTTTACTTATTAGCTTAGGCAAGTCATTCAATCTCTATAAGCCTCTAAAAAATGAGGAGAAAAAAATCCATCTCATGAAGTTGTTACAAAGACTAGGAAACACTGGCCGGGTACAGTGGCTCACGCCTGTATGCTAGCACTTTGGGAGGCTGAGGCAGGTGGATCACGAGGTCAGGAGATAGAGATCATCCTGGCTAACATGGTGAAACCCCACCTCAACTAAAAATACAAAATATTAGCTAGGCGTGGTGGCAGGTGCCTGTAGTCCCAGTTACTCAGGAGGCTGAGGCAGGAGAATGGCATGAACCTGGGAGGCAGAGTTGCAGTGAGCCAAGATTGTGCCACTGCGCTCCAGCCTAGGTGACAGAGCGAGACTCCGTCTCAAAAAAAAAAAAGACTAGGTAATACTGATAAAGAGATTAACATAGCTCCTGAAAGCAGAATGCACTTAATAAATGATACATCATTAATATGTACTTGAAAAATAATTTTCCAAAATTAAAATAGAAAATAACTAGGTAGATACAAATATCAGTTTTTATCAGTATTCTGAAAAGCATCTTTTGTAATTATTTTTAATTATTTAAGACAAAAATGAAATTCAGATTAACAAATAAAACATTTTACCTTTGCAAAGATGTATTCCTCCCCTTAGATTCTTGGGTGACCTCCCATAGGCACTGGGATAAAACCCACTTACCAGCAATACAAAGGCCTTCTTGATGTGGGCCCTGCTGCCCGCAGCCTTCCCGCCCTCCCTTCAAGCCAGGACACCCAGTACCCTCAGTGTGCACCTCATGGGCACCACAGCTTTCTGTCTGCAAGCCCCTGCCTCTTCCCCACTGCTCAGGACCCTCCTCCAAGAGTTCTGCACCCTCTCAGGCCAGGGTGGGCCCCACCACCCTTGTGGGCAGGTGTCCTCTGGAGTCACCCCACTCCAAAAGCTTCATTAAGGTAGGCAGCATGTTTTCTTTCACTTTGCAGCCCTGGTGCCTAGAACACTGCCTGACCATTTTAAACATTTATTTCAATGATCTGAAAATATATATTTGTAAAGGAAATTCGATGGAGTTTCTAACCCATACATTAAGAAACGTGCACTTTCACTAAGTAGAAAATAATTTAGATGCTAAAACTCTTTCACAATTAGAAATGAAAAAAATGACAGATGAAAAAAATTACCTTGTTTGCTTATAAAGCTGATGAACTCCTGAATTTCTGTTAAAGCCTGTACAGACTGCAATTTGGTGAGTCTACTTCGGTGTAAGAGGACATCAATACTAGAATAATTCTTAAAAAAAAAAAAAAAAGGCATTTTCAAATGCCGTGTTATAAATCAAGCTGTGTCTTTAAGTTTTTAACAGTACTCTAAATTATGAAATGTAGCAATTATTCTATAAATATGCCTCAGAATGGTTAATAATTAGGTCACAGACACAGTTAACAAACAGTTTAAATTAAAAAAAATAATAATTTAAGGTTTCAATCACATTTTGGCTCAGTGAAATCAATAAAACTGAGATCACCAGGCTATCACTGCCTCAACTTGCCACCAAGTTTTAATAATCCCAACATCCTATAATGTAAACTGCTGACTACAGAAGCCAATTCTTCTTTTGATAAACTTCCTTGAGAGTGCTAATCAACTTCAACACATTAAATAAAAATGAAAACAATGAATGAATATGCTTCTGTGCTAAATGTCACTAACCTATGCTAAATGTTATTAATAAACTCTATACAAGACATTCACTTACAAACAAACAACTGTCAGGAAAAGATTTGGAGAAAAGCAAAAAGGAAAGAAAGAGTGGCAGAAAACAATCAGGGAAGATCAACCCCCACTCTTCTCCACAAAGTAAACAAGCTTCCATTCTGCTACCCCAAATAGAAAAGTCTACTCTTGGCCAGGAGCGATGGCTCACGTCTGTAATCCCAGCACTTTCGGAGACTGAGGCAGGTGAATCACCTGACATCAGGAATTCAAGACCAGCCTGGCCAACATGGTGAAACCCCATCTCTACTAAAAATACAAAAATTAGCAGAGCGCCCGTAATCCCAGCTACCCAGGAGGCTGAGGCAGGAGACTCACTTGAACCAGATTGTGCCATTGCACTCCACTGTCTAGGTGACAAAAGAGAAACTGTCTCAAAAAAAAAAAAAAAAGCCTACTCTCAAGTGTTCTTTAAGAGTATGAGAAAGGTAACAAAAGGGGAAAAAAATGAAACCTTTCTAAAACAGGAAAAAAAGATTTAAAAAGGCATTAACATAAATGACAGAATGAACAGCATTACTGGAAGAACAGAAAGAAGGAAATAGGTGGTATGAAAATAGTACTTGAAAATTTTTGGTTTTTTTTCATGAGTTTTCTGAGTTTTAAAAATATCCTAAAAACAGTATATTTCAGATAGATCCACATTATAATACACACACACACACACACACACACACACACACATATAATATATAGTATTACCTGCATAAAACTCTGAATGCCATTTTGAATGTAGTATCTGGCTCTGTCAATATCATCTTGCAGGAGGTAAAGTAGACTCAGCTCTTGACTGTAATGAAGCTCTAAAATTGCCTTCTGGAGCTCCCCATGCATAGCTTTGTCAATAAATGTCAGCAGGGACTGGTCAGCCTCTCCCTGGAGCAGCAGCTTCAGCTTGCTGCGGATCATGTAAGGTAGATACGTTTCCTAAGGAACATAAAAATATACTTGTAACTACAGAAAGCCAATTTGAGTATGTCTGATTATTTTATTTCTGTAATACTCTCTGCTATACTTTCATAGATCAAGATTTAGAATCAAAGCGATGATGTCTGATGTCTGAAACAGTAATCTCCAATTTTTAAAACAAATTCATCTAAAATAGCTTGTTTTGTAACCACAACATATATAGGAACGTGTTCTACAAAATAATGGGGACTTCCTTTAGCAGGAAGATGATTTGGATGTTACATACAAACTGAGGAATTTACAAGCACAGTCAGGATAGGTATAGTGTGGAGAAACCAGGAGAGCCTCTTGTCCCAGGAGCTGGGAGGCCTTAGTCAGTGATCCGGGGCGACTTCTTGTAATATAAGAGACAAGAGTAAATATTCTCCCATGTAGTCATACTAGGAATGTTAATATTTATTTTAAAATGTATTGCATTCATTTTGAAAAGATGATTAGCTAAAAGTGATAAGAGATTTAACAATACTATGGGGTTTGTAGGTGGAGTCAGGTCATGCAACTCACTGGTGCTTCACAACTACTACCTGTTTTGAAACGTTTTAAAAAACTTTGTTAACTAGAAAACACCTATCTAAAATATTTATTTCAATCACTTAAAAATAATTTTACCCACCTGATAAAATGGTTCACTCCAGATTTTATTTAGATCTGGGGGGTTCTCACTGTCTACACTGGCTGTAGAACAGTATTCAAGTGATTTCCACTCAGCAAGGTGGTTGTAACAGTCAAGGGATGCAAGTTCCCAAAAATCCTTCTCGGCGTCTGTGGGCTCACCATCTACCCAGTCTTGTTTATTGAGAGCCTGGTGGAGAAAAGTTAATAAAATTATTTTACAAAGTTGGAAAGAATACCAATGAGAACATGTAAAAAGGAAGAATGTAACAATCACACTAAAAACAATCCTTTTCAGATTTATGGCAAGGAGAGAGAAAAGAGAAGCTACTCAGAGTAACACTGAATGGAAGAAAAACCAAAAGGAATTTTACAGTACTAAATGAATAGACAAACCCAGCTGGGCACGCTGGCTCACGCCTGTGATCCCAGCACTGTGGGAGGCTAAGGCAGGTGGGCCACCTGAGGCCAGAAGTTTGAGACCAGCCTAGGCAACATGGCTTAACACTGTCTCTACAAAAAACACAAAAACTAGCTAGGTGTGATGGCAAACACCTGCAGCCCCAGCTACTTGGGAGGCTGAGGTGGGAAGATCACCTGGGCCCAGCAGGTTGAGGCTGCAGTAAGCTGAGATCATGCCACTGCACTGCAGCCTGGGTGACCCTGTTTTGAGAGAGAGAAAAACACACACACACACACACACACACACACACACACACACACACAAATCCTAACTAGGAGGAAGCCATTTCTCTGAGAAACTTACCAATGAAACCAATTACTAAGACTAACCAATTAGTAAGACTTAATACTTTTAATCACAATAACTTGATTTACATCTCTCCTGGGGGTTATTTACCACATAACAAGTTCTTACAATAAAATTAGAATACAGGACATTTATAGAAAATTGCAGAGGATTTTAAAATCTGGACTGCTCATTGAAGAGTTTCACAGGTCACAGACCCTGAATTTCAACACCTACACTTGAACAGCCACTGACAAAATGTACAAAACTGAACTTATAGTCATCTTCGCAAATTCTTCTTTACCTCTGATATAGTTTGAATATGTGTCCCCACCTAAACCTCATGTTGAAATGTAATCCTCAATGTCAGAGGTGGGGCCTGGTGAGAGGTGTTTGGATCAATGGGGGCAGATCCCTCATGAATGAAGTGGGCCATTCCCTTGGTGATGAGTGATCCTAGCACTTTGGGAGGCCCAGGCATGATGGCTTGAGCTCAGGAGTTCCCAACCAGCCTGGGCAACATAGTGACCCCTCGTCTCTCCAAAAATCTTTAAACATTAGCCAGGCATGTTGGTGCATGCCTGAAGTCCCACCTACTCAGGTGGCTGAGGTGGGAGGATCGCTGGAGCCTGGGAGGACTGCTGGAGCCTGGGAGAAATGATCATGCCACTGCACTCCAGCCTGGGTGACAGAATGAGACCCTGCCTCTAAATAAATAAAAGTATATGGCACCCCCTCCCCAACTGTCTCTCTCTTGCTACTGCCTTTCACCATATGAAGTGCCTGCTCCTGCTTTGCCTTCTACCAATGAGTAAAAGCTCCCCAAGGCCTCCCCTGAAGCCAAGCAGAAGCCAGCACCATACTTCCTGTGTAGCCTGTGGAACTGTGAACCAATTAAACCTCTTTTCTTTATAAATTACCCAGTGTCAGGTATTTCCCTATAGAAATGCATGAACAGCCTAATACAACTTCTTTATAATTTTTTTTTACTAACTGAAAGAAAATAACCTATTCAAATAGAAACTGTGTAAGAGCAGACAGAAAAACAATATACCGTTTCATAGTATGGTAGGCCCTCACTTAAGTGAACAACCTATAAGGAAACCAATTTTCTTCCTTGTCAACATTGTAACCAACAAGAATCTGCTGTACCTTATTTTGCTTAAAGTTACAGTTCAGCAGAAAACAAAAGTGTTGTAGTAAATGTCATATTTTGCCAGAGATCAATCTTACCTCATCATACTGCTTAGCAGCTTCAGAATAATCACTTCTGGCTTCTGCTAACAATGCATTCTGAGTGATTTGCTTTGTTCCTATCTCACTGCTAAAAATCCCACGGAGGACGTCGTATTCTCCAATTGATCTATACAGTCTACAAAACAAATCAAAAAGGCCAAATCAATGAACACCCCAGTATTTTAGAAGTATTTATTCTAATGAAATGATAGTAAATCAAGCTGCCACACATTACATTAACAAGAGACATAAAATGTTACTTTAATTTTGCTAAAAATATAAAATTTAAGAAACTATGAAGTTACCCCTAGATTTTATAACTTTAATCATACATAAGGCAGAATTTATTCAGATGTGCATTTAAAGTAGAATCTGGGACAGGCGTGGTGGCTCATGCCTGTAATCCCAGCACTTTGGGAAGCCGAGGTGGGTGGATCACCTGAGGTCAGAAGTTCAGACCAGCCTGGCCAACATGGTGAAACCCCGTCTCTACTAAAAATACAAAAAGTTAGCTGGGCGTGGTGGTGCGTGCCTGTAGTCCCAGCTACTTGGGAGGCCGAGGCAGAGAACTGCTTCAACCCAGGAGGTGGAGGTTGCAGTGAACCGAGAACGCCCCACTGCACTCCAGTCTGGATAACAGAGCAAGACTCTGCCTCAAAACAAAACAAAAGTAGAATCTGAAAATATCAAAGGTTCACAGTATACAAGATGTGTCATTACATAAGGTTCTCCACTATTAATCCATGAAAATATCTGTAGATGACCCATTTGGAATCCTTGTCTAGCCCCCAAAAACCCGGAAGCAAAGAAAAAATAATCCTGACTACTGATGCCATGTTTAATCCATGGTTCTATGGACAATCTCAATTTGTTGGAGTATTCATTCATTTCTTCACTTTAACAAAATTCTGGCTTGACCCTTTCAATCAAGTTTCCCAGTCCATGATATTCTCAAAGTGTTTATTAGGTTTGTTCCCTTCCTCCAGGAAATTTCTTTCCATCTTGCAGTCTCAACCCAAATGTTATTTCTTCCTAAACCAGCCAGCCAAGGACTGCTCCCTCCTTAGTTCTCCTGCTGTTCAGTTTCCTTCTGGTACTAAGTCTCTTGCATTTATATCAAAAGAGCCCTACGGGCTCTCTCCTAGAGCTTATGAATTCTGAATTCAATAAAATCTAGTAGATGTGGCTCTCTTATTGCCCTGATTACAGAATGTTAGGGGTAATAAATCAGCAGTAAAGGTGGGTGGATAGGTAGGTGGTGGAGCAGTAGCTCATGGCCCCAGAGTCAAAGGAAGAGGGAGAGCTACATACGTACCCCTATACTGGTTCCCAGGTCCCTGGATTATGTTCACTGTAACATGGTTAAAACAATGGTCATGACATATTAAAAAAAGGCTAAGGCTGGGTGTGGTGGCTCACGGCTGTAATCCTAGCACTCTGGGAGGCCGGGGCGGGCGGATCATGAGGTCAAGAGATCAAGACCACCCTGGCTAACACAGTGATACCCCATCTCTACTAAAAATACAAAAATTAGCCAGGCGTGGTGGCACGTGCCTGTAACCCCAGCTACTTGGTAGGCTGAGGCAGGAGAATCGCTTGAACCCAGGAGCCGGAGGTTGCAGTGAGCCAAGATCGCGCCACTGCACTCCAACCTGGGCGACAGAGCGAGACTCCTGTCTCAAAAACAAAACAAAACAAAAAACACTAAACTTGTTCACAATGCTCAGAAACGAATGCAAAAATATCACAAAAGTATGAGAATGTACTTAACACAGTTAGAAAGAAATGTTTAAGTTTAGGCCCTTAAAAGTTGTTTGCTCCGCTTACTTAGTAAATACACATTATATATGTTTACCACTCCTGGAAATAGTAAACATACAAGGTGCCACTTCTGTTCACTTACACATCTGAAGCAATAGGAGAAAACGGTTCCAAGGTAAAATCAGCATAGCCCAGAGGCACTCTCTGAATGGCCCTGGCATTTTATCTTGTCTAAGTGCTCACCACCTTCTACTTCAATTCTGATTTATTATGTGTAAAGTACATGTATTTCCTACTAGATTGCCAGTTTTGTGAGTCTGTGATCAATGTCTAACCCAATTTCACGTCTCTTTAGTGCCTGGCACAGCACCTTGTACACTCAGCGCTCAATCAAGACAGACATGAATTAACTACAAAACAGCAGGAAGCACAAGGATCCCCTCCCTTACTTTTACTATCTTTTCTCTTAGAACCTAAAGCTCTAAAAATCTGCACTACAAAATGAAGTTCAAGTTAAATTTCAATCTTAACCTAACAACCTCCTCAGAATGAGACTTTCATATGATGAGATCACAGGTAAGGGAAGAATCAGACATAATGGAAAATGGTATAACTAGAAAATGGAATCTGTTTATCCCAAATTAACTGATTTAAACTCTTTCTAAAACCTTAAGTCCTGCTGAAAATACTAAATCATCCACTATTCAGTGTAGTGAAGCAGGAAATAACATAAAATATTAGGAACTATGATTCACAGCTACACTTTACAGGAAACTCAACTTGGTGAATAACACTGAGTCCAAAAAATCGTATACTGAAAGAAATCAGCAGGTTTCAATAACATTCTCTTTCCTTGAGCAAGACACTGCTTGATGCGGCAACTGTTCTTGACTTTGAGAATGGTACTCAGCCTGAAAGACTTTTTTTTCTTTTAAATTTCACATTACTGTTACTATCAACTTTATTAGTTCATTTTCTGCCAAGTGAAGCCAAGTGTTTTCCATATTGCTTTGGTCAAATCCAGTGTGCTCCCAAGAGTACTCGACCTCACACTTACTTAGCAAGCTCCACCCATCTGAGGACATCAGGAGGGAGGCGGGCCTTCCCGCGGACTCGCTTGGCAGGCAGCTCAGCAGGCAGCAGGCGGAGCAGAGCCTCCTCCAGCAGGCGGATGCCCACGGGCTGCTGTAGGCTAGCCAGGCAACCAGCGCTAACAGCTGCTGGGTCAAGGCTCAGCAGGGCTGCGTGCTGGCAGCTGATGTCCTGTGAAACCACACATACAACCAGCTGTTTAGCTTGTGGTACTTGGACCATGTTTTCACAAGGAGTAACATACTTTACTAAACATAAAAGGTACCGATGTTTAAGTAGTGGTATCACCAGAAGTTTCTCTGTGTAATGCTATTAACAAATTTTCCCACAATATTCAATTTGCTCAAAGGAGGAAATGACCTTTTAATTTTACACTTCCAATCCAGGGATCGATTTAAAGCAAGAAAAGCACTATCAAAATATGAAGATAACATATACACACACACATAAATTAGAAACCAATATAAAACAGAGCTAATGTATAAAAAGAAATTTATACTGACAGTTTCACGTTCCATCAAAAAGAATAAAACAGAAAAACTAAGTATTTCATTTCAGAAAAATATTACCCAATTCGTTTGTAAACCGATACTACCGATACACAATATTGAAGAATATAAATTAGTAATTATTCAGAAAAGGTCACTAGATACAAAAATACTAAAATGAATCAAAAAGATGTTCTACTAGGGAATTTTATACAACCCATACTTTGAATGGCACAGAAAACATTTCTTACATGAAAAATAATCTTCTGACAAATATATTTAAGTAGTAACTGAATATTAAATTAGATTTTCTGCTCATGCTGTGTTGCCCTGGAAAGGACTTCTCTGACCACTGCATCTAGGCACACACACCCTACCCCATCAAGAGGCACCTGCTTACCTGCTTCATTACTATCTTACACTGCTTTAATACTTTCCCATTACTCAAGTACTATGACACTTACTACAACCTAACGTCCCGTTCTACATTTCCCTGTGGGTTGCCTATTACCCATCTATTAATGGGAATGTAAGGTCAAGAGGAAAGGAATTTTTGCCTCTTCATCGATGTGGCCCAACCACCTAGAACAAAGCCAGGCGGGTACTCAGTCAACACCTTTTGACAGCAGTCAAGAGGCAGGAAAGAATTTGGTGAAAGACTACATAAGGAAAAACAACTAAATAAATGAAGGGTTTCATCAAAAACAATGAGGGGACTGGCTTACTACAAAATAAAACATAACATGTTTGATTTCTGGTTATTCTGTCACATATCGGTTTTTCTGGGGGGGGAAAAATAAATTACATCTACTCATTTGGGAGGAGGTAACCCAAACAGTACATCTACTCTGTTAAACACCAGGTTATCAAAAGTTTCAACATGGGAAACAGTGTGATGACGGAACGGCCATGTGAAGCCACAGCAAACAATATTTGGTGAAGTGTGTGCAGACTTTACCTGAATACAAGAGACAAAAGGTGGAAAGAAAGAGAAGGTGGTATTAAGAAAACGATTGAAGTCTTGGAGCAACTTTTGAGTGATGTTGTTTTTTTCAGACAGCGTCTTAAATTTATCCATCTCTTTCAAAATTCCGGAAAACAAGCTGCTAAAGAGCTGTTTTGCAATTATTGGGTCTCTCTGTAAAAAATTCAAAACAAAGACAAATTAGGATCTGAAGCAAAAATGCTATATAAATCACCAATACTATCAGAGCTTAGAAAATACAGACTGTTGCAAACACATCTATTATACCTCTCAATTCTATTTGGAAAGATTTAACAGGCATTGACAAAGGCAGCATTTGGAATTTAACCAAATATATCTGTTTGATGTATGTTATGGAAACATGGACTTTTGGCCCAGAGAAATGAATTTAAAAGCTGGCTTAATCAATATGTAATGACATAGCTTCTCTCCTGAGTTGAGTCTGGGTCTCCAAACTTTAAATGGGGGCTACCAGAACACATCACAGTGTGCTGCGGGGAAGATTAGCTCAGATGATGCACAGCCAGTGCTTAGTGCAGCACCTCATAAAATCTCAGAGAAAGATTAAATGTTTAGGTATTTTCCTCCTATCAGCACCATGGTAAAGCTTAAAATAACTGATCAGCTTAAATGAAATGCCAGTGTTAATTTTCAAGGTCCCACCACCTGACCACTTTAAACTATTGAAACCATCAGATGCTTCTTCTGAGCATCAGCTCCCTCAAACAGCACACTACCTAATCATTTATAGCCCTAACCCTCACACACTTCATGGCCACAGGATACTCCCTTTATTTATTTATTCATGCTGTGACATTAGTACCAAAAACAGTTCCTGGCATATAGTGTCTATCTTTGCTAAATGGAGGCATGTAAGTATGATAAATAAAGTTTAAAAATTACTTTGTGTAATCTTCTAGGGATCTTCCCTGTTAATAAGTTTTCTATCATATTATAATTGACAAGTCAATTCTGTTAATATCTTTTTGTTAATTTTGCTACATGTTTGCCTCTGAAGGAGGTGAGACTTGTGCTGCTTTTTGGGATCATGTTCTTTTTTCATGTTTAAGACCTATTTTAATTATGTTTACAACATAATGGCAATCCATTTTTGATGTTTTATGAACAAATTACATTATTAAATGAATGTTCTTAAATCAAGCGTGATTTCTGCATATTGTTGAAAAGAACATTAAAAGCAATGGTTTACACTTAGTTACCATAGCCAAAAAATAAATACTTGAAATGTTTACTGTACAATTCTACTGATTTAAGATTATACTTAATATTAAAAAAAATCTAATTATCGAACGCAAAAAATTACTTTGATAAAAGCTATGTATGACTAGAACAAATTCCTTATTGTATATTTTAAGTAATATATTTATCTTGTTATAAGAAGTTCTACTGAGTAGTAAAATTTTAGAAAATATGGCTAAATCAAAAAAAGCACAATCCCATTTACAACAGCCACAGAAAGAATAAAATACCTAGGAATACACTTAACCAAGAAGGTGAAAGATCTTTACAAGGAGAACTAAAAACACCACTGAAAGAAATCACAAAATGACACAAATAAAGGGAAACACATTCCATATTCATGGATTAGAAGCATCAATATTGTTAAAATGGCCATTCTGCTCAAGGCAATCTATGGAATCAATGCTAATTCTATCATACTACCATCAGTTATCACAGAACTAGAAAAACTATTCTAAAATTCATGGAACCAAAAAAGAGCCCGTATAGCCAAAGCAATCCTAAGCAAAAAGAATAAAACTAGAAGCACTGCACTACCCAACTTCAAACAATACTATAAGGCTGCAGTAACCACAAAAGCATGGTACTGGTACAAAAACAGACACACAGACCAACGGAACAGAATAGAGCACCCAGAAAATGTGGTTTAGGAAAAAAGAAAATAAGTATCACCCACAATTATACCATAAAGAGGTTAAGTCACTGGCACGTGTCTTCTACTGGTGTGTACACTTTTAGACCTGTTTGGTAACCTGCTGTTTTTATGTAATACGTGGTGGACGGGTTTCCATGTCTACAATCCACTGATTCCTGAGTACAAATTCCTTCATTTATGCTCCCTTTCTTCAGACAAATGCAGTGGTAATCCTGATAAATAACGATAAATAATGTCTTCAGCACTGATGATCTCAGAGTCTCAGCATGTGTAAAGAAATCATGGAACTAGGAAATGGCAGAGTCAGGACTTGGAGCAAGGTCTTTACACCAAGCCCACTGTTGAGGACAAACCAACACCTCATCTATGTTGCAGGACAGCCTCAGCCATGTTTCCTCACATAGGCAAACCCCTAAACTGGAAACAGATTTTATTTAACCTGTCAACAGAAAACGCAGCGGCAAGGACTGACCTGGGCCACGGCCTGTAATGGGGTGATGAGGCTGCTGTGCTTGATTTGAATGTCAGGAAGGTCTCCCAGCCGGTAGCTTCTGTACAGAACGACCTGGGCATCCTGCTTCATTTTTAACTCACTCTTGATTTCCTACAAGCACGAAAACCAAAGTAGAAGATGAACATTCTCATTGAAGGAAACCAGTCGTGCATGAGCTATGAGGCTGCCAAAATCCCCTGAATCACAAGGGCGAAGCAGTGGGAACTGATGCTCGTGGAGGCTTAGTCACTCTGCTTTACCGTCTAGGGCAGACGCTGCATCCAAAATAAAATCACTATACAACAAGCAGTGGAAAGGCTTTAAACATTCACTATAAAGTAATCAGAATATTTATAAAATCGGAAAATTTGATTTAGAAGTATTTAAAAAACAGGCGGAGGGCTGCATCTCTGGAAAGTCACGATGAGAACGAAGCTGGCAGCCAGTGCCCACTTCCACCTCAAGGTCCTGCCCTCTGGCTACTTCTGCTCCCAGGCAGCTGCAGAACCCAAGGTTCCCCTCCGAGGGGGCAAAATAGTGCCCCGGGGGCGCAGTCCGGGAGGCCTCAGGCTCCACAAACACGGCTGGGCGGCAGGGCTTGGGGAGGGGGCCGGCACAGTGCCCCACTTCGAGGGCTTCACACCCAGATGTGGACGGAGGCGCTCCCGTGGAGGCAGCGGCTGGCGCTGAACTTGAGCACCGTCAGGGATCCGTCCTACCCCCTTCTTATAAATGCATCTTAATGACCCATATCTAGGCGGAATGGACGCTGCGGCTACAGAGTCTCCACGCCACGGGAACGCCCGCCTGGCCACCTGTCGTCGGGGCCCCGTGAGTCCCAGCCCCCAGCTGCCCTCCCGCCGCATTGGTCCCTGAAGTGAGGGCCAGTGAAGTCCTGCTAGGGCGCGGGCCTTGAGGTGGGCCCAGGATCAGCCTGCTGATCCCAGGTCGGCCATGCTTCCACCCGCGGAGAGAACGGGGTGCATTCCTGGACCCCCACCAGGGCACCGCGGGGGCTGCATCCCCGTGGGGGAGCCCCAGGAGGCTGGCTTGGAGCAGCCCCGCCACCTGGTTTGCAGGTGACACTGGAGCCAGTGTCTGGCAGGAAGCTTGTTCACTTCGTCTGTATCCTGTGACAGAAACTGCATTATTCTGATCAAATTCTTGACAAAATACAACCTTCTCTCGTTTTTGCTCAGCAACGCCTTTTCTGGCATACATCAAACTGAGCTTCTCTTGGTCCCGCATAAACCGTCTGCGCAGTCGCAGTAGGTCCACTCGGCCAGCTGCACCTGGAGAGGGAAAGCAGGCCCAGTTACTCCCCGCCGCCCAGACACTTGGCTCTGCTGGTTCATTTTCACCTCGGGTTTCCTCAAAGACAAAACCTAGAGGTGCCACAGAGGCAGCGATGGGAGCAGGAGTGCAGGGGCCACAGCTGCAACTGGAACTGCTCAGCAGTGGATTCAGCAGGCATGATAAGGGGCCAGGCCGCTCCAGAAGGAGGCCCAGGGAGGGCACGCAGCCACCTTCTGAATCTCGGCCCAACTCGTCTGGGAGTGCTTTGCCTCTGGCTAACTGAACAAGAGAGGAGCTGCCTCGGAGGCTTCAACACCCGGTGCAGACCAGCCTCCCTGCGGACTGTGGCAACCTGATCAGGGACAGGTGACTGCAGCGCTCCTAAACTCGTATGATTCCAAACGCCTGTTTAGTGTCTGGCAGATACCAGCCTTAACCTCCAAATCACGACAGGTTCTAAGGAAGGCTTCGAATATGAACGACAGAAACCAAAGTAAGCAACAAGGAAAGAGCAACTGTTAAAAGCAGATCATGCAGGAAGAAATTTCAAAACATGATCATTTATCAGAAAGACAAGAGTAGGAACTGAAGAAATGTTCGGAGCATGAAAAAAAGCTCATGGAAACTAAAACATGTCATAACTTAAAAGCACAGGTGGTTGAAGGGATTTCCCAGAAAAGAGGCAAAGGGAAAAACATGACACCTCAGAAGGACACTCACACAGGTGTGATATTTAAGCACTAGGACTCCAAAGAGAAAACAGCAAACTGAGGTGAAGAACTCAACAAAATCACCCGTGATGACGCTCCAGAACTGGAAGGTGAGTCAGCGGCCTGGAAGCTCCCACCATATGCACAGAGAAACAGACTGAAACAGACCTACACCCAAGGACACTCGTGTGCAATGTCAGAACGCTGGTTTAAAAGAGAAGATCCCGAGAGCGTCCACAGAGAAAAGACCCACGTTCCCACAAAGGATCCCCAAGGAGGATGGCACCTGCAGCCCTGCAACGCAGGGAGTCCAGGGGCCCCACGTATGGAGGTCCACAGCAGCACTCCCGCCAGGCCACGAAACCATGAGCTCCCAGAGAAAGCTCCCTGCTGCTGAGCCCCATTCTCAGCGCTCAGGCGGCTCCACCTGAATGACCACCACCAGCACTCCAACTCACAGCAGGTGCCAAAAGTTGGGCCACACTGACCTCTCCCGGTTCCATTTAGAGAACTGTGTGTGGGCCACAGGTTTGTGACTGAAAAGTATGACAGAGAGTGGTGGAGTAAAGCAAGTTATGTTGCCTGTGTTTCAGTTCCTACGATTAGATAAGAAAGCAGTGAGCTTTGCTTCTAAGTTCTTCTAAGTTTACTTCCACAGAGCTGAGCTTCCCTGCTGGCACTCCCCCAGGGTTCTGTCATGGGCCCTTTCCTCTCTGTACATGTCCTTCCTCTGGGCCCTTGTTCCCTCCCAGAGCCACACTTCTCACAAAGAGCTGCTTCCAGCCTTTCAGCATCCGTCTAGCTCTGGTCATCAGTTAGCCAAGACCAGGTCCTGGTGCCTTTGGCCCCTGCCTCCCAGTCCCCATCACTCCACTTCTGCCCCACACAAACCTCAGGGAAGGGCATTCAGTCCCCGAACCTTCCTCTGCTTGGTGCGTTACAAGGCTGCTTCCTAAAGCTGAAGTTCGACACACACCCCCACACCCACAAGCCTGTCTTTGCAGCACCCTTTGCCGTTACTCTAGCATGCCCCGAAGCATCCCTTCACCTGGACCGCGGAATTGATCTGAGCCTGCCCACCCCGACACTTCTCCATCCCTGTCCTTTCCATCCTCTCCCTTCCCATACCCCCAGCTCCAAGGCTCCTCTCAAATGCTCTTCCTCCACCCAATCTCTTAGGACGCTCTCCCCATTCTCCACCTGCATTAAGCCCGCTCGCCCTAGACCGTGCTTGCTAATTCTACCTCATCTTACAATCTTACATCTTACAATCACCCCTTTATAAAGCCTCACCCAGTCCTAATGCTCCAGAAAGTCACTCAACAATGGATCAAGTATAACTTACTGACGGATTCTTCTGGAACTCCCAGAAAACAATGTCTTCAGCATGGTAAGTGCCTAGGCAACATTAACTGAATTTTAAGGGGCTTGATTACGAATTACAAGGCAATATGGATACAGTCAGAAATGTCCCCAGACCTGAGCTCTGCAGTAATTAGTGGGGAAGCAATTTTAAGCACTCTCAGCAACCCAGCTTACCTTTCACTTTGTTATCCACCTCGTCCCCTGGAAGGCCCAGCCTTTTTTTCCCAAAATCAGGCCCCACTGACTTCAAGGGTGCTCTCTGTAACCTTTCACTCCTCTTGTGGGCAAACAGCAAAGAGTCAGATGACGGACTGGAGTGGTCGACCAGCGGGTCAGTGCTGCTCCCGGTCAGCCAATCAAATGAGCTTCTTCCATCTGCAACATATGATCAGAGAGGTCAGGCACTCAGCACCACCCAGCTCTGTAAATGGGGCAGGACCACCTGCCAAGACACACCTGGTAGCACCCTAGGCCTCCGTGCTCACCTCCAACCCTGGGCAGAGGCTCTGTCAGATCCCAGGGTATGCCCCAAGGAAAACTGGGTGCATGGGTCTCAGTGCCCCTGGACCACAACGTCCCCATTTGTAAAGTAAGAAACATGCCACTTGCTCCCACCACAGGAATAACACTTTGTTATCTACTGAAAGGTGCTAAGAGCCCCTGACTTGTAATATTAGTGTCACAGAATTCCCATTGTGATTATTCAAATTAGTCCCACTTCCAGAACCAACAAAATGTGAAAAAAATTACATAAAGGAAAAACGTTAAAGAGTTTATGTAAAAGGATCAAGATATTTTACTCTACAATTTGTACTTTGCTCATCAAAGGAAGCAGTTAAACCATCTGAGAAAGAACAGTTTAATAACTGTAAATCTAGTAAATGAATTTGGTTTACCCCTACTCTGCTTTGGAGATAAGATGTCTTAAATTTGCTGCACTAGGTTTTTCGGTACCAAACCAAAACCAAAACATACATATACTGAAACTTTCCTTGATTTTTCCCGTCAGAAATAATCCATTTCTTTTTTAGAAAAATTGTAGCAAAACAGGCTGGGTGCGGTGGCTCACGTCTGTAATCTCAGCACTTTGGGAAGCTGAGAAGGGTGGATCACAAGGTCAGGAGATCGAGACCATCCTGGCCAACGTGGTGAAATCCCACCTCTACTAAAATACAAAAATTTAGCCAAGCGAGGTGGCACACGCGTGTAGTCCCAGCTACTCAGGAGGCTGAGGCAGAGGAATCGCTTGAACGAACCTAGGAGGCAGAGGTTGCAGTTAGCCGAGATCACTGCACTCCAGCTCCAGCCTGGCGACAGAGCAAGACTCTGTCTCAAAAAAATAAATAAAAATAAAGGAAAATATACATAAAATTTACCATTTCAATCATTTTTAGGTGCACAGTTCAATGGCATTAAGGATATTTACACTGTTGTACAATCATCACCATCTTCCACGTCTACAGTTGTGTTTTTTTTTTTTTTTTGAGACATGGCCTTGCTCTTTTGCCCAAGGTGCATGTGGCATGATCACAGCTTACTACAGCCTTGAACTTCTGGGCTCAAGCCATTCTCCCGCCTCAGCTTCCCCAGTGGCTGGGACTAATTACAGGCGTGTGCCACCATGCCCAGCTAATTTTTAAAATTGTTTTGTAGAGATGGGGTCTTTCCATGTTGCCCAGGCTGGTGCAGAACTCCTGGGCTCAACTGATCCTCCTGCCCCAGCTGGAATAACAGGAATGAGTCACTGCACCCTGCCTCCACAGCACTTTTCCTCTTGCAAAACTGAAATTCTGTACCCATTAAACTATAAATCCCCATTCTTCCTCCCCAGACCCTGGCACCTAGCACTCTACTTTCTGTTTCCATGAGTTTGACTGTCATAGGAACCCACTCTTTTGACTGACATCTTCCTTGGGTTCTCAATGCTTTTTGTTATTATCCCTTACTTCTCTCGCAAAAGCCCAACACTGTTGTGACAGAAGCTGCCCACTGAGGTCAGAGTGCTGTATATATGGCCGGCGGGGTGGGTCACTGTTACCTGCAGTCTGTGTCGGTGTGAAGTCATGCTGCTGCTGGGTGGCCCTTATCTGCCCTGCCATTGGCCAGCGAGCTGAAAGGGACCCTTCCTGGGTACGGGTCTGGAGAGTGCCCTGGGAGGCCTGGGTCTCCACAAACATTGGAGTGAGAACAGTACTTCGGAAACGCCAATCAGAATCAATGGTATATTCCTGTACATAAGAAAGTTTCAAATGAAATAAGGCCCCTTTTTAAGGAACACTGATATATTTCTATTTAAAATCTAATGGTACCATCAGCATATTTCTACCATAACTTCATATGCAGCTGAACAATCTTCTCTAATTTAAAAGTTTTAACTAAGTGATTTGCCAACTAGAAAAACTAGCTAACTATTGAGGGAGAAAACCCAACTTTCTTAATGTTTGCATAAAAAGGCTTGATATGCTCAGCACCGCAACCCAAATTCAACGAGTCAAGTGACCCAACTTGTCCACATACACACATGCCACTGCGACAGATCCTGAGCTTGTGAGTGGGACCGGAGGGGCCCTACCCCAGGAGCTCTCTGCAACCTGCCCATCATCCCCACTGTTAAGGCTGCTGCGAGAGAGCACAAGCTCAGCATCCACTGTGGGCTGGGAGGAATAAGGGGAGGGAAAGCAATGGCGATTCTGACAAGGGAAATCTAGTGAAGGCCAAGAGGGTGAGGCCTGTGGACCTCCAGGTGGCTGAAGCAGAGGCACGAGCCTTCCCTTTCCTTTTCAGAAAGGAATATGTGAGTATTCCAAGAAAGCAAAGAGCCAGTTAAAGCTATTAAAAATGTTCATGAACAAGAAAAGCTTATAATATTCATTACTATGAGAGAGAAGACCACATTACCTGAAATTCACATTCTGACAGAGGATGTTCGAACATGGGATTTGGATAATCTGGGCTCAGGCTGGTCATTTCAAGCAGAAAATTTGTTGCTAAACTTAAAAAGTGCACTTCTATCTTAGGAGAATATAAGGAATTTAGTGCCAGCAACCGGTCCAAGGTATTTGAAGGTAACCTAGTTTCATGGCTCCAGAAATTTCGAATAATTAATCTGAAAAGCAGAGAGAAAAAAGTAGATTGCTTAGACAATGGCAAATGGGAAAGAATGTGCTGTACAGGGTGTCCTGTGGAGAAGGCACAGCTCTTCACCCACATGAAGCTTAACAGAGAGGGAAACCACATTCAACTATATCAAACATACAGTCTGAGTTATGAAACATATCCACTGAAGGAGGGGAATATTACAAAAAATGTAGCATATTTTTTATGCTACAGAGGGGAGGGGAGAAACTGGGTGATTTTATTCTCTTATCTCTATTCTCTGGGAAGTTTTCAATGATGAGTACATGATATTAACTATTTGAAACAAAAAAAAATTTAGGAAATTACACAAAATCCTTCACTGCCTTGCCAAAACAATTCATTATAAAAATTACTGCCATAAAATACTCAAAACATATATTAATTAAATACCAAATTAGGGGTTGGGCAAAGTGGCTCAGGCCTGTAATTCCAGCACTTTGGGAGGCCGAGGTGTGTGGATCACCTGACTTCAGGAGTTCAAGACCAGCCTCGCCAACATGGTGAAACCCTGTCTCTACTAAAAATACAAAAATTAGCTGGGTGTGGTGGCGTGCACCTGTAGTCCCAGCTACTCGGGAGGCTGAGGCAGGAGAATTGCTTGAACCTAGGAGGCGGAGGTTGTAATGAGCTGAAATCGTGCTACTGCACTCCAGCCTAGGTGACAGAGTGAGACTCCATCTCAAAAAAATAAATACATACATACATACATAGCAAACTAGGTCCTATAATTTATGAATGCATATGAAATCCAAATACAATTTTAAGAAGCTCAATGAATTTAAAATTATAGCAGAATGGAAAAATAATATACAGAAACATACAGAAAGTGTATGGCTTCTTATATTGAGGCTGGGAGCAGTGCTCACACTTAAAATTCCAGCACTTTGGTAAACCAAGTCAGGAGGATTGAGGCCAGGCACTGAAGCCTAGCTTGGGTAATATAGCAAGACCCTATATTTACAAAAAGTAAAAAATTAGCCGAGCCTGTTGGCATATGCCTGTAGTCCCAGCTACTCAGGAGGCTGAGGGAGGAAGATCACCTGAACCCAGAAGTCCGAGGCTACAGTTACACTACTGCACTCCAGCCTGGGTGCCAGAGCAAGACCTTATCTCTAAAAAACATATTAATAATAATAATAAAAAGTTTAACCCCCTTTTTGCATAGTCAGTATACTTATATAGTCAGAAACACACATAACTGACTTACTCAGGGCAGGCATTTTAGAGGATAACAATCATCATTCACACTTTCATATGTAACTAATATTACGGTTTCCTCTCATTTCTAAGGTTTCAAACACTTTATTTTCAACATTAATACTTACAGCATGATCTCAACTATGTGTGTTAAATGGGAAACAGAAGAATTGTCATTATAGACTTTCTTTTCATTTTGAAACACTTTAACTCACTGCCCTAGCATTTGGTCCATATGACTTTTTCAAGAGTGTTATTTTTAAGTTGTCAGGATTTTAAAGCCTTACTCTTCATAATGTGCTTTAAAATACTCTTTTACGAAATATTGTGAAATGCAGAAAGCAGAGAAAATGCTAATACTGCAAATACATTTCTAAAACTCCTGAAAAATACTCTATGCTACCTTTGAAAGCAATACCCTTAACATGTAATTGTCCCAGCCCAGTTATTCAAGGAGAGCACGTACTGAAGTCCAGGGTTCTCATCGATCAATCCTTGAATCAGCACATCTTTTGCCAACTTAAATATTTCCTGGGAGTCATTATCTGTCTGACTTTCTGGATCTCTGCTTGAGAAAACAGCAAAACGTCACAACATTAATGCTCTCTTCTAGTCCTTTTGTTCAACTACAGTAACACCATCTAGAATTCAATTTAAAAAGACTGGTTTTCCCATTAGACTTTAGATCTCCAAATCACAGCTTGCCCCACTCATGGGTATGTGCACAAGCCTTGAGAACCCATCCTCGCTCCCAGCAGGAGCAGAGTGGAACAGGGGGATGGGCCCACAGGAGGCCCAGCGGTCCTGTGACGCTCAGCTGGGGCGGTGTAGTAGTGCCCAGTGATCCTGGCAGACTTCATCTCCTTAGTCTTTGCCAGATCTTAAAAGGACAACTATGAAAATAGGTTTTATAAGCACACCACCATACTTTTTCACTCTGATTATTTCACAAACATATGTGAAATCAGTTTTTAAAAGGATACAATCAGATATACCAAAATAAATGTTACTCATATGGTAAAAAAAAAAAATTATTAATCATATGGTAAAAAAAAAAATGTGTTATTATGTTCCAGATTGATAAGGGGACCCAAATGATTCCTAAAGTGTTAATGTTGCCCCGGAAACAAGGCGAAACCCCGTCTCTACAAAAAATAAACAAAATTAGCCAGGTATGGTGGTGCACACCCATAGACCCAGCTACGCAGGAGGCTGAGATGGGAAGATCAACTGAGCCCAGGAGATTGAAGCTGCAGTGACCTGTGTTTGTGCCACTGTACTCCAGCCTCGTCGACAGAGTAAGACCCTATCTCAAAAAGAAAAACAACAACAACAACAAAAAAAACCACAAAGTAAAATAGTCAATGTATAGCTTACCTGTAATTGTCATGAATCCACATGAGAATATTATACATTTGTTCCCTACATGTTGCAGAAGGATGGGAAACGAATTCCACAACAGGGTTCAGAAGTTCTCGGAGTTCTACTGGTTTTAATTTTGGCATCATCTTATAAATTATGTCCAAACATACTTTCTGTCTTTCATCATCTCTATGGGAGAGATTTTAAAAACACACAAATTTAACTATTTTTTATTACTGTACTTTCAAAGTATGACCGACAACTTTTTCTTCTTTGTTTCAAAATTTGTTATAATAGATAACACTACACTTATATAAAACTTGTATTCTTGAAATAATCATGGACTAGATTATTAAATATAAGACAAATAACTTCAATGTGCTATCCTACACCGGATCCTGAAACAGAAAAAGGACATTAGAAGGAAACTGGAGAAATGGAATAAAGCCTAGTTTGGTAAACAGTAATGTTCTAATGTTACTTTCTTACTTTTGACACATGTACCAAGATTATGTAAGGGGAAAGTTGGGTAAAGGGTATATATGGAAATTATGTGTACTATCTTTCAACTTTTCTGCAAATACAAAATTACTTCAAGATAAAAAGTCTGTTTTTAGAAAAACCTAATAATGGCAAACAAAGTATTTTTTAAAAGGACTTCAAGTGCTGCCTGGCATGGTGTATAGTGAAGTGCAATCTGAGCTCTAAATGAGGCAAGTATTTATTTCCTTGTTTTGACTCCTTAATAGCACCCAGCTGAATGCTTCACACAGTAGATACTCAGTGAACGTAAGGATATTAGGACAGTGACATACATTCTTTGTTACTGACACAATGCACGTTTATTGTTGTGTAAAAATACTTACATAGGAGGGGGACAAGATGGCTGAATAGACATAGCCAGGAGGGCCTCTCCCACCAAAACAGAGCAAAATAATGAGTAAACCAACATGCTTTGAAGAGATCTTTGGAAAGAAAGCACTGAGCATCGATAGAGAGAGGCAATGCAGACACTGAGGCAGAAGAGGGAGGAAGCTGGGAAGCCTGCACAGTCTCCGGGTGCCAGGACCTACTCTTGGCCCTAATCAGGTCCTAAGGAAGGGGTGAGTGGAGTGACTATGGGGCAACCCACGCTCACCATGGAGCTCTGGAATACTAGCCACAAGAGATCCCACAACCCCCACAGACATTTGAATTGGCAGGGAACTGTCAGAGAGACGGTACAGGCAGAGCACCAGCCTACATGGAGCCTGGCAGGTCTCACTCAGCGTGGAGCAGCTCCAGCAAAATGCGACCCCAGGTGCCCATGCCCCCAGGTTCTCACCTTGCTCTGAGTCACTCTAGGCCCTGCTGAATGCTGGGGTGGAAAACAGCAGGGCTGTCCTTCCTGTGGGTCTGGGGAGAGCCTGATTTGCATGCCTATCTGTCAACTTCCCAAGCACTACCAACCCCAGCTGCTCCCACAAGAGCATAGACACAGCGTAGCCTCCACTATCCAGCCTGAGTTCTTTGCCAGTGGCCTTGGAGCACTTTGGCCACAGTGCTTGATTCCAAGGGGACAGAGGATGAAGCCGTGGGCCTGGTCTCAGCCCCCCACGGTCTAAGCACATCGTTCAGGAATACAGAGCCAAGATCTGTGGCCAGAGCTTAAGCTCTGCTCAGACCACTGAGTACAGTGAGACGTGGGTTTGTGTTCCAGCATGAGTGCTGGGTGAGCCCCCTTCCATGAGGCTGGTCTGGGAAGGGTGAGGCCTGTTAGCCAGCTTTGCATCTGCCTGAGTGGCCTGCAACACCTAACAGCCCAGTGATCTGGGCACAGAAAGCATGGCATAAAACTGACTGGTCAGGCTAGCTACTGGGGCAGACACCAACAGACTTGGTCAACAGAGCGTGAGCTAGGCAGTCCCCACAACTGTCTGCTGGGCAAAAAATCCCAGGCTGTGGGCACCACACCAGCTGCACAAGCATGACAACATCACCCTGCCCTGAGATCCCCCACCCTTGACCTACTATACCAACAGACCACCCACAGACATACCCCACAACCCTCTCTAGCTTTGCCAAGCACAGAGGACCAGTGGGCCTCTGGAATGCTGTGGGTCTCCTGGTGACCTAACCTTCAACTCAGGCCACTGCTAAGGGATGGAGAGCGCAGCCTACCAGGGCCCCCCTTGGGGTTCAGGAAATGTGAGTATGGTGCCAGTGATTGGAAGGGGCTCCTCTAAGGCCTGGAAATGAACTTAGTGAGGGGGTCATCTCCCTTCCCCTGCCCCCAGAACACTGTGCTGAACACACTGTAATCTAACAGTCTATCTGCTAGCCCTTACCTTTAAGCACCATATACTGGATCATAGTCTGAATAACATCACTAAAAAAAATTCTTCTAGTATACATCACCTGTGAAACCGAAACCCAATGCAGGAACCAAGGACAAAGAAAGATCCTATACAGAGCCTCAGCCTGCTGAAAGCACCCAGAAAGGAAGCCAATCGACTATACTCAGCATACACCACAGTCAAACCCTCAAGGAAAATGATGAATATGAAAACAAAAGGCCCCATCCAAGCAGCAGCAACTCCAAAAAGATAAAGGAACACCAGCCCTCTCAGATGAGAAGGAATTAGGGCAAACACTCTGGCAATTCAAAGTATCTCCTCACCTCCAAACAACTGTACTAGTCTCTCAGCAACGGTTTTTAGACAGATTGAAATGGCTGAAATGACAGAAATAGAATTCAGAATCCAGATGGCAAGAAAGCTCAAGATCCAGGAGAAGGCTGAAATTCAATTCAAGGAAACCAGTAAAATAATTCAAGAGTCAAAAGGCAACATAGCCATTTTAAGAAAGAACAAGCCAGGCGTGGTGGATCACACCTGTAATCCCACCACTTTGGGAAGCTGAGGTAGGTAGATTGCTTCAGTTGGAGAGTTTGAGACCAGCCTGAGCAAAACGATGAAACCCCGTCTCTGCAAAAATATAAATCATTAGCTGGGCGTGGTGGCGCATGCCTGCACAGGTCCCAGCTCCTCAGGAGACTGAGACGGGAGGATCACCTGAGCCTGAGAGGTCGAGGCTGCAGCAGTAAGTCATGGTCACACCACTGCACTTCGGCCTGGGTTACACAGCAAGACCCTGTCGAAAACAAAACAAAACAAAACAAAGGAAAAGAAAAGGAACCAAACTGAACTCTGGAACTGAAAGATTCACTACAGGAATTTCATAACACAGTTTGAAACATTAACAAAAGAATAGACCAAGCTAAGGAAAGAATCTCAGAGCTTGAAGACCAGTCCTTCAAATCAACCCAGTCAGAAAAAAATAAAGGAAAAAGAATTTTTAAACAAAATCTCTAAGAAACAATAGATTATGTAAAAAGAATCAAACCTATGACTTACTGGAATTCCTGAGACAACTTGGAAAATATATTTGAGGATATAGTCCATGAAAACATTCCCTATCTCACTAGAGAGGTAGACATGCAAATTCAAGACATTCAGAGAACTCCTGTGACACACCATACAAGACCATCCCCAAGACACATAGTCATCAGATTTTCCAAGGTCAATGTGAAAGAAAAAATTTTAAAGGCAGCTAGAAAGAAGGGTCAGGTCACATACTGACAGAACTTCATCAGGCTACCAGCGGGCCTCTCAGCAGAAGCCTTAAAAACCAGAAGAGACTGGGGCCTATTTTCAGCATCCTTGAAGAAAACAAATTCCAACCAAGAATTTAATATCCTGCCAAAATAAGTTTCATAAGGAAAGGAAAAATAAAGTTCTTTTCAGACAAGGAAACATTAAGGGAATTTGTTAACATTAGACCTGCCTTATAAGGGGTCCTTAAGGGAGTGCTAAACATGAAACAAAAGAACAATACCTGCTACCATAAAAACATACTTAAGTATGTATCCCACAGATACTATAAAGCAACTACACAGTTAAGTCTACAAAACAACCAGGTAACAACATGACAACAGGATCAAAACCTCACATATCAATATAAACCTTGAATGTAAACAGTCTAACGGCCCCTCTTAAAACCCACACAGTGGCGAGTTGGATTTAAAAAAAAAAAATTCAGTTATCTTCTCTCTTCAAGAGACCCATCTCACATGTAACAACACCCACAGGCTCAAAGTAAAAGGATGGAGAAAGATCTATCACAAAAACAGAAAACGAAAAAGTGCAGGGGTCACTATTCTTTTATCAGATAAAACAACTTTAAACCAACAAGTTAAAAAGGACAAAAAAAGGCATTACATAATGACAAAGGGTTCAATTCAATAAGACTTAACTATATACTAAATATATAAGTACCTAACTTTGGAGCACCCAGATTCATAAAATAAGTTCTTCTAGACCTATAAAGAGGCACTCAATAATAGTGGGAAACTAACACTCTATTGACAGTTATAGATAGATAAGGCAGGCAGAAAACTAACAAATTCTGGACTTAAACTCGACACTTGAACAATCGGACCCAATACATCTATAGAATACTCCACCTAATATACCACAATATACACTCTTCTCATCTGCACATGGAACATACTCTAAGATCAACCACATGCTCAGCCATAAAGCAAGCCTCAATAAATTAAAAAAAAATTCAAAACCATACCAAGCACACTCTCAAGACTACAGTACAATAAAAATAGAAATCAATACCAAGACCTCTCAAAACCACACAATTACATAAAAATTAAACAACTTACTCCTAAATAACTGTTGAGAAAATTATTAAGGCAGAAATCAAATTTTTTTCAATTACAGAAAACAGGGACACTAAATGCCCATGTCAAAACATTAGAAAGACCTCAAATCAATAATCAAACATCGCATATAAACTAGAAAAACAAGAACAAACCAAGTCCGGGTGCAGTGGCTGACGCCTGTAATCCCACTTTGGAAGGTCAAGGCAGAAGGATCATTTGAGGTTAGGAGTTTGAGACCAGCCTGACCAACAAGGTGAAACCCCGTCTCTACTAAAAATACAAAAAAATTAGCCAGGCATGGTGGTGTGCACCTGTAGTCCCAGCTACTCGGGAAAGAGGCTGAGGCAAAATAGCTTGAACCCGGGAGATGGAGGTTGCAGTGAGCCAAGATCGCACCACTGCACTCCAGACTGGGCAACACAGTGAGACTCTGCCTTAAAACCAACCAAAGCAAAACAAACCAACCCTAAAGACAGCAGAAGAAAAGAAATAACCAAAATACAGAGTGGAATTGAACGAAACTGTGATCCAAAAATCTACACAAAGATTCAACAAAACCAAAAGTTGATTATTTGAAAGAATAAACAGGATTGATAGACCTCAAGCTAGATCAATAGGGACAAAGAGAGACAGACAGAAGATCTAAATAAGCACAATAAGAAATGACAAAGATAACATTATATCTGATCCCACAGAAATACAAAAGATCCTCAGAGACTATCGTGAACACCTCTACATAAGGAAATTAGGAAATCTAGAGGAAATGGATACATTTCCGGAAACATACAAGCTCCCAAGATTGAACCAGAAATTTAAAAAAAAAACAAAAAACAAACAAAAACACCTGAACAGACCAATGAGGAGCTCCTAAATTAAATCAATAATGAAAAAAACTTACCAAGCAGAAAAAAAAGAAAAAAGAAAACAAAACCCCCAGGGCAGATGGATTCACAGTTAAATTCTGGCAGATATACAAGGAACTGGTACAAATCCTACTGAAACTATTTCACAAAACCAAGGAGAAAGGATTCCTCCTTGACTCATTCTATGAAGCCAAAATTCTGATACCAAAATCTGACAGGACATAATGAAAAAAGAAAACTTCAGGCCAAATCCCTGATGAATATAGATGTAAAAATCCTCAACGAAATACTAGCAAATTGAATCCAACAACACAACTAAAGGTAATGCATGACAATCAAGTATGCTTTATTCCTAGGATGCAAGGTTGGTTCAACATACACAAATCAATGTGATTCACCACATAAAAAGAATTAAAAACAAAAGCCTTATGATAATTTCAATAAATGGAGAAAAAGCTTTCAATAAAATCCAACATTCTGGGCTAGGCACAGTGGCTCACACCTATAATCCTAGCACTTTGGGAGGCCGAGGCAGATGGATCATTTGAGGTCAGGAGTTCAAGACCAGCCTGGTCAACATGATAAAATCCTGTCTCTACTAAAAATACAAAAATTAGCCAGGCATGGTGGCATGTGCCTTACTCAGGAGGCTAAGGCAGGAGAATCACTTAAACCTGGGAGGCATAGGTTGCAGTGACCTCAGGTCGTGCCACTGCACTCTAGCCTGGGTAACAGAGAGAGACTCCGAGAGAGAGAGAGAGAGAGAGAGAGAGAGAGAGAGAGAGAGAGAAAATCCAACATCCTTGCATGATAAAAACCTTCAACTGGCCGGGCGTGGTGGCTCCTGCCTGTAATCCCAGCACTTTGGGAGGCTGAGGCAAGCGGATCACAAGGTCAGTAGTTCGAGACCATCCTGCCTAACACGGTGAAACCCAGTCTCTACTAGAGAAAAAATACAAAAAAATTAGCCGGGCGTGGTGGCGGGCACCTGTAGTCCCAGCTACTTGGGAGGCTGAGGCAGGAGAACGGCGTGAACTCAGGAGGCAGAGCTTGCAGTGAGCCGAGATCACGCCACTGCACTCCAGCCTGCGTGATACAGCGAGACTCCATCTCAAAAAACAAAAACAAAAACAAAAACCCTCAACAAACCAGGCGTCAAATGAATATTCCTCAAAATAGTAAGAATCATCTATGACAAACCCACAGCCTACATGATACTGAATGATGGCAAAAACTGGAAGCATTCCCCTTGAAAACTGGAAAAGACAAGGATGCCCACTCTCATCACTCCTATTCAACATAGTACTCGAAGTCCTACACAGAACAATCAAGCAAGAAAGAGAAATAAAATGTATTCAAATAGGAAAAGAAGAAATCAAACTATTCCTCTTCTCTGATGGTATGATTCTATCCCTAAAAAACCCTAAAGACTCTGCCACAAGGTTCCTAGAACTGATAAATGACTTGAGTAAAGTTTTAGGACACAAAATCAATGTACAAAAATCAGTAACATTCCTATACACCAATGACATTACAGCTGAGAGCCAAATCAAGAATGTAAGCCTATTTACAAAGGCAAAGAAAAGAATAAAACATCTAAGAATACAGCTAACCAAGGAGGTGAAAGATCTCTACAAGGAGGACTACAAAACACTGCTGAAAGAAATCGGGTATGATACACATAAATGAAAAAATACTGTTAGAATAGCCATTCTGTCCAAAGCAATCTACAGATTCAATGCTATTCCTTTCAAACTACCTATGTCACTTTTCACAGAATTGGAAAAAACTATTCTAAAATTCATATAAAACCAAAAAAGAGCCCGAATAACCGAAACAATTCTAAGCAGAAAGAACAAAGCCAGAACATCATATTACCCAACTTCACTATACTACATGGCTACAATAACCAAAACAGCATGGTACTGGTGGGGGAGGGGGGGGAGAACCACAGACACACAGACCAATGGAACAGAATGGGGAACCCAGAAAAAAGCCACAGACCTACAACCATCTGATCTTCGACAAAGTCAACAAAAATAAGCTGTGGGGAAAAGATGCCTCATTCAATAAATGGTGCTAACTGGCTAACCATATGCAAAAGAATGAAACCAGACCCCTGCCTATCACCATATAAAAAAATTAAGATGGATTACAGACTTCAATGTGAGACTTCAAATTATAAACATTCTAGAAGAAAATCTAGGAAATACCCTTCTCGATATCAGCCTTAGCAAAGAATTTATGACTAAGTTCTAAAAAGAAACTGCAACAAAAACAAAAGTTGACCAGCAGGACCTAGTTAAATTAGAGACTCTGTGCAGCAAGAGATACTATCAAGCGGGTAAACAGACAACCTATAGATGGGAGAAAATATTCAAAATATTCACAGACTATGCACCTAACGAAGGTCTAATATCCAGAATCCATAAAAAACTTATTCAACAAGTAAAAAGCAACCCCATTAAAAAAATTAGCAAAAGACATGGATACTTCTCAAAAGACATAAAAGTGGCCAACAAATATATACATATACGTATATATGTATATGCATATAATTGTATATATACATATATATGTGTGTCTGTGTATATATATATAAAGGTCATCACAAATCATCAGGGAAATGCAAATGAGATACCATCTCACACCAGTCAGAATAGTTATCTTAAAAAGTTAAAAATATAGCAGATATTGGCAAGGCTGCAGAGAAAAAGGAATGCTTATACATTGTTGGTGGGAATGTAAATTAGTTCAGCCACTGTGGAAAGCAGTTTGGAGACTTCTCAAGGAAGTGAGAGTTGAACTATCATTTGACCCAGCAATCCCATTGCTGGGTATATACACAAAGGAAAATAAATCATTCTACCAAAAAGACACATGCACCCATATGTCCACCATAGCACCATTTACAACAGCAAAGACATGGAATCAACCCAGGTGCCCATCAATGGTGGACTGGATAAAGAAAATGGCACATATATACCATGGAATATTAAGCAGCCATAAAAAAGAATGAAATGTCCTTGCAACAACATGGATGCAGCTGGAGGCCATTGTCCTAAGCGAACTAGTGCAGAAACAGAAAAGCAAATACTGCATGTACTTACTCATATGTGGGAGGCTAAACACTGAGTACACACAGACATAAAGTCAGGAACAATAGACACTGGGGAACAAACAAAGGGGAAGGCAGGATATGAGGCAAGAGTTGAAAAACTACCTGCTAGGTACTACGGTCACTACCTGAGTGACAGATTCATCTGTACTCCAAACCTCAGCATTACGCAATACACCTTTGTAACAAACCTGCACTTGTACCTCCTGATTCAAAAATAAAAGTTCAAAAAATGAAAAAAAAAAAGTATATAGACTAAGACTGGAAAAGAGTACGGGGACAGGGAAATAATACAATGTAAGTGATCAGCAGCTTTCTCTTTTAATATATACTTTCATGCTATGTTGCAATTTTGAAAATAAATGAACAATTTAAACACATTAACAGAAGCTTTTCACTTGGCAAAATAGGTACAGAACTCAAAAGCACACATTTTAAATCTGAAGAGAGCCAAGGTAACCCCACAGGCCACCTCCTTCATTTATGGGTGAAACACGCCCTAGGATGTGGCTCCCCAAAATGCCAGGCCAAGGGCGCAGGGAGCAGGCCCACCTCAGCAGATGTCCTATTCTTAAGGTGCCTTCACCTTTTCTTCAGAGATTCCAACTTCACAAACGTGCATATCATCGAAACCCACAGGTTCTTCTTGAGTTGAAGATGTCTGAACAAATTAACACTTTATGAGCCAATGGGACCCAAGAGCAGGGCTAGTGTTCACTCACCTATGTCTCATGACTTGAACGAAGTCCTTGCTCTTTAACTGGAAGTACAGCTCTGTCATTGCCTCCACACGACAAAGTACCACCTCCAGACAGAGTGTTTTCAACACTCCATGAAATTTTGGCAGCAGAAAGAACACAGCATTCATGAACCTGGGGGACAAGAGGACTGGTGAGAGGAGGGCCAAGGACCCTCCTGCCCCTACAGGCTCCGTGGACACAGGCTCCCTGGACAGCCCATACCTGTCTGCAAGAGGAGGGAAGCTCTTGGTCACTTTGTTTAAGCACACAATAAACTTGTCCTCCATGGTATTTTGATGTTGCTTCAATTGTTTCGCAACCAGTTCACACAGAGACTCCTCCAGCATCTGAAAAATTAAGTTTATTTTCAAATACACAAAAGTGGAAATGTAGATTAAGCACTGAAAGTAAGGTTTATCTTGAGTATTTAAGTGAGCCCAAAGAAGGTGTTCAATGTTACCACCTACAACAAGGCAGATGATAGGACAGTTGGTGCTGGGGATGTCTGCTGGTCGGCACTGACCATCGCACACCCTTAGGTTCTGGATCCTTGAGTTCCTACACCTCAGTGAGCCAGTCCACATCACTGTGCTCTGCGCTGAGCACCCAGGTGTCTGGTTCGTGTGGATGTCAGATCAATGAAGATTAGTGTTTCCTACTGACACCAAAACACTTGGTAGGACCAGTAAGTCCTTTGAGAAGCTAAGCTAAATGGCTAAATATTGTTTGAGACATATTTTATGATGTTCAGATTTCTGATAAAAAATATTCACACGGACTAGAATTTTCAAACAATTCTATTCACATAGCAGTCCACATCACTGTCTGCTCACGTCCTGCCTCTTTTCACCAAGTGCTGCTGTTACATATTCATCTGTATATCATCTGTCTCCCCTCCCCAAATGCCAGCTCCCCAAGGGCAGCGACGTGACCTGTCCTGTTACCTACTGCATCCCTAGAACCTAGAACCAGAAAGTCCTCAAATGTCCTCCACACAGAGAAGCACTCAGTGGAGTCCACTGGAAGGAAGCAACAGAAAACACTGCTGTCCTTCCTGGCTCACCTCCTTCCTCACAAACATCAGAAAGAGGTATAGGCAACCTTTTCAAAGGCATGAAGACTGAACAGTTTTTCAATGCAAACTCAACACAGACTGAGCACCTCAAATCTGAAAATCCAGAATCCTCCAAAACGCAAAACTGTTTGAGCCTCAGCATGACGCTCAACCAAACGTTCACTGGAGCATTTGAATTTTGAATTTTTGAATTAGGGATGCTCAAACAGTAACTATCATGAAAATATTGCAAAACCAGAAACTGAAAACACTCCTGGCCCCAAGCATTTTGGAATAGAGATACTGAACCTGTAGTATAAGGCTATTTTTAAATTATCTTAAGAAAAACTCTTAACACAAAACCACAAATTTCAACGGCCTGAACCCCATATAGAATACATATAGTATTACACTACCGATTCATCAGCTGTCTTTTTATTAAAAGTATTTAATACGACAACACAAGGAAATGATCACAATCTAGCAAGTAAAGAAAGCAAGTTATAAAACAGTATGAATAAGAGAGACCAAGGACAGTTGAGCTGCGTGCCGCAGGTGTTGAGGGATGTTGCATGGAAAGAGCGCAAGCCTCTCTTACTGACTTCTTTTTATTTTTTTTGAGATGGAGTCTTGCTCTGTCACCCAGGCTGGAGTGCAGTGATGTGATCTCAGCTCACTGCAAACTCTGCCTCCCAGGTTCAAGGGATTCTCCTAGCTCAGCCTCTTGAGTAGATGGGATTATGGGAGTGTGCCACCACGCCCAGCTAATTTTTCTATTTTTTGTGGAAACAGGGTTTCACTATGTTGGCCAGGCTGATCTTGAACTCCTGACTTCAAATGATGCACCTGCCTTGGCCTCCCAAAGTGCTGGGATTACAGGCATGGGCCACAGCACCCGGCCTCTTACCAACTTCTTTATGTTTACTCTGCTTTCCAAATTTCTACGATAAATCTGTATCACTTTTATATTCAGAAAAAAATATGTAAAACAGAAGTGTTTTTTATTCTTAAATTGAAATTTAAGCCATGAGATTAAACCTGGGGATCTGCTGTAACTTGCTCCATTTATGGTGGAAATGAAGCATATTATGTAGATTCAAACCTCACATTTAGGGATGTTAGAATCATCTTGTAAAAAAGTTCTACTGAATTTAAAAAATCTGCTTATTTACAAAAATAGCTGATAATCTCTAAAATAAATTACAAGTAATGTTTGATCTTCCCAAAGGGGTCATCTTAATTTTATTTTAAATCCAAACAAATCCGTATTTGGTGACATGGACAAGGGTCCAATCACAGCACCGGGCCCACTGGTGCCTGCTCAGGACCACCTGGCTTCTCCTGAGCCTCTCCTCATCCAGCCCCACAGTGACTGGGCCTGGACTCTACTCTGTCCTTTCTTTCAGGAGAGTTAACTGAGCTGGGGGTGCAAACTTGAGAATCATGAACATAAAGGCAGTCTATATCAAGTCGTGAAGCTGAATGAGGTGGGTAGGGGAGCAGTGAGTGAGGCCACAGCAGAGCTGTGGAGGTGGTCAGGGAAACGCAGCTGAGGAAAGAGAGAAGGGGCCGCCACAGGAGGAGGACAGGAGCCAAGAGTGTCCTCAGGGTGTGACCAGCTGGGCCACCTAGACAGGCTCTGCAGCAGCAAGATCCCAGGGACCCACAGAGCACCTAATCCCAGTGATGACCCTGAAACCCATAACCCTGCTTGGGCAACATGGCAAAACCTTGTTTCTACAACAAATACAAAAATTAGCCAAGCATAGTGGCATATGCCTGTAGTCCCAGCTACCCAGGAGGCTAAGGTGGGAGAACGGCTTGAGCCCAGGAGTGCAAGGCTGCAGTGAGGTATGATTACATCACTGCACTCCAGCCCAGGTGACAGAGCAAGACCCTAGCTCTAAAAAGACTTTAAAACAGTAAGGAACATGTTACTTCTTTATTCAGTCCTCTTATCTGAACAGTGCACTGCACTTAAAAGTTCAGTTAGGCTCATCTCACAGTCCTGTCCAGTGGGCAAGGCAGCAGTACTGAGAGGGTCGCCTGGGAAGTCCCTTCCCCTGTTCAACAGCTACACCAAAAACTGCAAGGGGAGGAATGGACTGGGAGACCACAGCAGCTATCTACCAGGACAATTTCCTCCACAAGGAAATCCTGAGACCACATTCACGGTAATAAAAGCTGGTTAAATACTCTCATCTTGATTTTATATTACCAAGACGGTTGCTGACCTCTCCACGTTCACCAAGTTTCCAAGGTGTCTAAAAAACTGAGTGTTGTATTTGCTGTATTATAGTAAGGAACAGTAAAATATTAATAAATGCAGATGCCCATTTTGTTTCTAATACCATACAGGAAATAAACATGTAAGTATCAAGGGTCATAACATATCAAAATAGAGTAAGAGGTATTTATTGAAAATTGCATAGCACACTCACGTTTTTTCTCTCCATAACATATCGAAGTATAAGTCCTAAAACTTCTGCTGCAGCAGCATACACTTCTTTATATCTTACAAAGGACATATTATTCACCAAAGCCTGAAAGTATCTACAATAAACACAGAAAAGACATATGCATCAAATAAATCATTCTGTTGTTCCACAAATATAAATGACAATTTTCCTTTTCATGTCATACCGACAGCCTAAGTTGAGGAAATCTAAATATAGAACGTGATGCAAATTCCATGTACAAATGCACACATCAGCATGTATTTAAGGGTGCCCAATGTCATAACCAGAAAATCGTAGGGCAGTCTGCTGTCCCATCATGCAGAACCGCTGCAGCTGGACCATCCCATAAGGCTGAACAGAAAGCTGCAGTGAAAGACAGAGCTACCATCCAAGATCACGGGGCACTGACTCCCTTTCAAAATCCACCTACTATAGCAGGACAAGGACAATAAAATGAAAAACAGCATACTCCCAATGCCATGCTGTGTGAGGAGGCTTCCCAGGGAGCCTCGCATCCAATGTCTGCACTCAGGGGACTCTGCAAGGTTGTTCTGGCATAGAAGCCAAAGGCCCAGCCAGTGACTGTCTAAAAGGAGCCGAGTTCCCACTGAGGCTGCTGCGAAGCTGGCTGACTGCCTCAGTCCTGAGGTCACGTGTCATCTCTGGCACCAGTAACTGGTCCAACGGTGCTGGGGGGCCAACACGGAGGACCAAACAGAGAGAGTGAAACACTCACAGGGATCGGAGAGTCAGGTAGGGCAGGCGGAAACCCAGGGAGTGGCCAGGAGTCAACAGTGACTTCACAACCCTCAGGAGCAGGACAAAGAAATACCCTTTTGTGATGTCCCGTAACCATCTTTCTGAGGCCTCTTGTCTTGACATGTCACACCCAGCTGCCCTAGCTCCCAGGCAGACAGTGCAGCCCAACGTCTACCAGCCTTCAAGGTCAGAGAGCCCAGAACAAAGCCTCCTGAGGGGACTGCGTTACTTTTGGAGGTAAATGTTCAGAGTATCAGTTTAGAAAATAAGAAATACCATCTCTCATCTGTCAGCATGTACATGAAAAAAATTACACTGTTTTAAACACCTACATTTCTTATTTGCCCCAAACATATTTTTTCTTCCAGAAAAATCTAAATCCAACTTCCTACATTTAGGAAGAAAAAAAATTTTTTGGTACAGATGGGATCTTGCTATGCTGTCCAGGCTAGTCTCGAACTTCTAGACTCAAGCAATCCTCCTGCCTTGGCCTCTCAAATGTGTTAGAATTACAGGCATGAGCCAACATGCCTGGCCCAGAAACATTCGTAACATGGGTCTGGTCCTTAAATTTATCAAAACTGCACCATACCGAAGTCTGTCAATCCAGTTTGGGTAGACGTAACCTAAAAAATAATCAAGCAAACACGTACTCGCTACTCTGAATGCCACACTGCGGGTCATAGGGAGGCAGGTCATTGGCCATCACGATGCCTAGCAATTGAATCCCTACTGAGTTGTCTTTAGAATTAGGATCTTTACCGGAAAACTTTTCAAATATTAACCTGAAACATAAGCACAAAGGAGAAAATTGAGACTGTCACATAATCAAATAAGAAGCAGAAAGACAAATACAGAATTTTACTTTTTTGAGACGGAGTCTCACTCTCGCCCAGGCTGGGGTACACTGGTGCGACCGAGACGGAGGCTTGGAGTCTCGCTTTGTCGCCCAGGCTGGAGTGCAGTTGGCGTGGTCTCGGCTCGCTGCAAGCTCTGCCTCCCGGGTTCACGCCATTCTCCCGCCTCAGCCTCCCAAGTAGCTGGGACTACAGGAGCCCGCCACCACACCCGACTAATTTTTTGTATTTTTTTTTTTAGTAGAGACGGGGTTTCACCATGTTAGCCAGGATGATCTCGATCTCCTGACTTCGTAATCCGTCAGCCTCGGCCTCCCAAAGAGCTGGGATTATAGGCGTGAGCCACCATGCCCAGCCAAATACAGAATTTTCTAAAGCTACTCTTCAGGGTAAGAAATGCTTTTTCTTTATTTCTGTTTCTTCCCCAGGTCTAGCTTTGACTTTATAGAAAAGCTTTCTTTTTCTTTTCCCATATCCAATACCCCTGCTTGCTAACACCTCCTGTTCACATCCAGGTCACTTCAGCTTTGTAACACTGGCAATTTTATCGCCCTCATATTTTAATTATTTGCCTAAATTCTCCCTTAGTTGATAGCAAAACTTTTTGAAAGTTTTAGCTTGCCTAAGGCTACAAAAAAAGAAATTACACACAAGTCCTATCCACCTCCCACCACCCTTTACCCCATGGGCCAATGGAGGGTGGTGCCCCTCCCCAGCATGGAGACATCACAGGCAAGCTGAGGGGGAGGGCAGGGCCACCGGAGGGCGCATCTGGAGACACACTCTGGAGGCTGTGGTTTAATTAGTAACAACAAATTATTTCCTTCCTCCTATCATTTCATGTAATTAAATTTCACTGTAATCATCATTTACCACACACTACATTTTAACCTAAATTTCTAAACAATACTGCAAAAACCAGTAAACATACCTATAAGGGATGGATAAACAATCCTTCCAGCACTCGACCAGGGTCTTTATAATTTCAAGGTTGTGTCTAAACACAGCTCTTTTTGGATGAAAGACATGTTTCATTAGGAAATTAAGCAATCGATTTGCTAACACTTCATCCTTAGGAACCCCCTGAAAAGGTACAGAAATTCTGTATTAATATGCGGCACTCCATTCTGGAAAAGCATTTTTTAACTCAAGTTCATTTATAAAAGAAATCTGGCATTTTACAGGAGTCCGGCTCCAGTTCAAAGCCCTGTGATTTTTCAGAAACAGGCAACAACAAAGGCTGTTCCTGGCAAGAGGACCAGGCATCGCTGGTGCTGCAGTCTCGGAGCTGCCGTCCAGGGTGCAGGCTGTCAGCCGCCATGCTCCATGCAAGCACCTCTGCATTCCTCCCTGGAGCCTCCATGCCTAGGACCCTTTATCTGAGGCCCTGGACAGGGGTCACCTGCAGGGCAGGGGGGCGGCATGAAGGCACTTTCCGCACTCTGACTCAGTATCCAGTGCTTTCTGACTCAGCTCTTCCCCCATAAAACTGCACGGCCTCTTGTTCGGGGCCTCTCAACAGTGAGACAGCCCATGTCTGTGCTAATCCGCCTGGCTGCTGAGCAGTGCACCATTCCAGGGGCAAACAGAACAAGGGGAGTCTCCCTCCAGTGTTAGCCTCTCACTTCCATAACTCCAGAGTGAGTAAACCCTTCACTGCAACCCTCTTTCTGGCTTGCTGTTACTTTATTCAGCTACCCTGAGCCCGGCAGTTCCACTCTCTTGAGTTCAGCTGAGCTGCTGACTCAATATTATCAGCTACATCAATCTCTTCCAACGGATTCTAAGTTAAACTAAACCCCTCTTAATTTTTTCATTTTATTAAGCAGAATACAAAGTATTTCATTACACTAAGACAAAGAAATCTAAATTTGGTTAACTATGAAACAAATGAGATGGGCACATCCAGAGGCAAGCATATGAGAAAGCTCCGTGTATTTTTTTGTGGGGAGGTGGTGGTGGAGCAGGGGGAACGCAGTCTTACTCTGCTGCCCAGGCTGGAGCGTAATAGTGCAATTTCAGCTCACCGCAACCTCCACCTCCCCAGTTTAAGCCAATTCTCCGGCCTCAGCCTCCTGAATAGCTGGGATTATAGGCATGCAGCACCACGCCCAGGTAATTTTTTTAGAAGAGATAAGGTTTCACCATGTTGGCCAGGCTGGTCTCAAACTCCTGACCTCAAGTGATCTGCCCGCCTCGGCCTCCCAAAGTGCTGGGATTACAGGTGTGAGCCATCACGCCTGGCCCCGCATGTGTATATTATATTTAATACAGACTGTTCCTACCATCTCCTCACACGAAAATGTTTATATGCTGTCAGTGTCCACAGTTACATGAGTAGGCAAAGCTCGAACAAACACACACGTCTACACTACTGGGTACCGCATCTGCCTCAACATAACATGGTGTTACCATCTGGCAGCTACTGCTTTAGCCCTAATCTTGCCATTACTGGTATCAGTCAATACTCTGGGAGTAGAGAAGCTGGCACGAACGCCAAAATCTAGGGACTTCAGGGCAGAAGTTCTCAGAGCCTCCCATTCAGGGTTGGCTGACATTCAGTTTACACATAGTTTTAATAAATTTGTAATCTCATTTCTAAGGCAAGTAAAGGCAGCAAACAAAACAAAACAAACACCTGACAGTTTCATAATAAAAGCAAGGTCTGACGAATAAAACTAGAGCAGGCTGAGGCCATTTGGTTTAGAAGCACACCAGCAATGTAGCAACAAATGCTGAAAACCATAGCACAGTCAGTGAGAGGGACCTGAATTATGTGTCATAGGCTCTATAGGCTATTGGCAAAGGATAATATATTAACATAAAAGATGCATCAATCCTTACTGTCGGAGTGGCCAAGCCTGTCCATGAAAGAATAGTGGCCACTATCTCAACCACCATGTAGTGAATTCCTTCTCCTCCATTGTTTTCAGAAGCAGCCAGCTGCAACAAGGGGCTAAGCCAGTGCTTCGCGTAAGGGCGAAAGACCTACAAGAGGATGTAAAAGTCAAACATCAAAGAATGGTCTTGAATTGCGAAAATATTAATACAAGACTGTATCTTTCATCAGCTAAAATTTCATTCTATGACTGGACCTAAAGCCAAAAGGGAGGTAAGCACGTTAAAGTGAAGTCATTAGTGTGGGCCCTAATCCAATATGACTGGTGTCCTTATTAAAAGAGGAAATCAGGACACACAGACAGATACAAGGGGGGAAATGAGGTGAAGACATAGGGAGAATGTCTCTGACACACCACACAGTGCTCGAGGCTGCCAGATGCTGGGACCAGCCTGGACTAGGCTCTCTCATAGCTCTCGAAGGAACCAACCCTGCCGGCAGCTTGATTTCAGGCCATGGCTGTCTGAGTTCCCCCAGTGTGGCACCCTGAGACCACAGGCCCAGGGTGTGAAGAATCAAGTGAGCCTTGAGGAAAGCAGGTCCTATTGCAGCCCTAGAGCAGCCTGTCAGGGACCTCCTGACAGACTCACCACATCTGCAGAGCTGCCCAGAATGACCTTCTACAGAGCCAAGTGGATGGTGTTACCCCACCACTTAGTGCCCTTCAGTGGTTCCCTGGTGCTCAATGAATGAGCTCAACCCTCTGCATAGCTCTGGATGGCCTGGCCTGGCTGTGGTCCAGACCACACTCCCACAGCCCAGGCAGTCAGTGCAGACTTGCTCAGTTCACCCAGAGACCACCCGTGCTATGCTGCTCCTTCCCTGCCGAGTGCAAACTCCCACTGCACTACACCACGTCTAGCTCAAAGGACTTTCCAAAATCGACTCCAAGATGCTCCTACCTGACAAACTCAGCTACTGCCTAAGTAAGAGTCAGCTGTTTTTCATATAGAGTTAACAGGAATATTTTCTTCCCTCCGCCCCGCCCTTTTTTTTTTTTTTTTTTTTTTTTTTTTTTTTTTTTGCTACTATACGTTGGCAGCTGTAAGAAAGCGGCTACATGTACTTTATACAAAGACCACTTCTAACTCACAGAGGTGAATTTACATTTGTTAAGAATGATAAAAGAATGGTGACGAACAAGTAGATAAATATTGGACGGCTAATCAGAGAACAAAAATGTCATGCTCTGTACCTTTGTATTTTCCTTTTTTGTGAGTGTTTTTAAGTAGATTCACAGAATTGCAATTGATTCATTCATAGAATTGAATAAACAGACTTATAGAATCTATTCAAAGAATAAAGAAATAATCAATTACTTACCTCTTCTGTATTAATAATAAGCTTGGCTAAGAAGAGACGGATATTTAATGATACTATTGGATTTCCCAGTTTGCCATGGAGGAATTTCATCCAAGGAGGAAGATCTCTTGGCACTGAATCCTAAAATAAAACATTCAAAATTACCTTAAAAAATGGAATAAAATAACGTTACGTTATTGATATGGGAAAACAATGACAAAGACAGACATGAACAACAAAAAAATCACATTTATTTGATAAGCAGTTTGGTTTTGTCTTCAATATTAAATGTTAATATGACACCAATAAATACAGTATTAACAGATAAGATGAGTGGGAAAAGCACCTCTTCTCCTTGAGGAGGGCCCAGACTTCTGTGCATATGCTTCACCAGGGCCGTCAGGGGCGCCATACACTCGTGCCGATTGAGCTCATCCATCTCCAGCTCCAGCACATCATCATGCACCGTGGGGTCCCGCTGCTCCTGCGAAAGGGAGGGCCCAGGAGAGCAGAGGGTACAGTTAACATTCAGTGGACACGGCAGTGGATGTGGGAGGTTCTTTCTGGGGCAACAGCATATAACAAACACTTCGGTAATAATGATGATTTGGTAATATCAAATACACTCACTGTACAATTAACACATAAGAAGGATTTCATGTCTTCCTTGTATCCCAAGTACATATTCCCCCTGCCCTGTCTGCCCAGTCACTCCACAGGGTGGCTCCTGAGGTCAGATGTCTCTGCTACACTGACCCCTGACCCTCATCTATGGTCACTCCCCAGGGTGGCTCCTGAGGTCAGATGTCTCTGCTACACTGACCCCTGACCCTCATCTATGGTCACTCCCCAGGGTGGCTCCTCAGGTCAGATGTCTCTGCTATGTTGACCCCCTGACCCGTCTGTATGGTGACTCCCCAGGAGTGCACCTCAGGTCATATCATCTTTGCTATGTTGACCCTTGACCTCCTACTGTGCTGATGATATCTGACTGCTGAGTCAACAGAATAAAAGATCTTTGAAAATTCTCCAAATTAACTCTATACTCTGAGGGTTGTCAATGGACAGGGAACTGGCTTCCTGTAGTAACAGCAAGGCATAGCTGTGACCCCCTTTCTTCACAAACATCGACAATATTCTTTTAGTATGTGAAATGTGATCACCCGTCTCCGAAAACGACCAGTGGTAGGTCTAGGGTCTTGGGAGCTGTATGAATAGCTCTGAACTCCGGTTGAGAAATCAAATTGACTCATTTCTTCACTCAGGGTACTGTCTGCCAAATATGACAGGGAAGACATATAGGAAGGACCATCTGAAATATAAAAAAGGAGAAAATTACATGTATTCAAACACAATCAGTAAGAAATGTACTTTTCTAAACTCAAATGATATGAAAATGAAAGGGTATTTTAATCTAAGGTTTTCATCAACCTGGTGATTATTAACCCATTATCCAGATTAAGAAAGCAAAAAGGAAATGGGGAAGAGACCTCAATTTCTTTTTGTTGTTATCAAGCAGTTATTCTGTCATAGACAAGGAAATTGTTATACTGGGCCAATTTTGCATATGATTAACAAATTTTCTTTGCATTTAAAATTTTGATAATGTACATTTTGCCCATTAAGTCTAACATAAATGTGGGAAGAAATACTACTGAAAAGTAGCTAATCCAAAACATCTAAGGGATTTAGAAAATTGGTCCAAATTTTATTCTCATATCAAGAAATGATGATAAAGCTATAAAGAAAAATTAAGCAAAAAACAAAAATAAGGAGCATATAGAGGGATAGAGGACTAATTTTAAATAGAAGAGTCTATTTCAGGGGTTGACATTAAACAAAATGTCATGAGGTATGCTGACACCTGGGGTTGAGGGTATTAGTGGAAACAACCTGGGGCAAAAGCAAGCCTGGTGCCTACAAGGCACAGGGAGGAGCCTTATGCTGGAGTGAGCAGGAAGAAGGGTTGCAGGGGAGGGGGTCAGCAGATCAGGGTCTTTGAGCAGCTCTGTCCTGAAGGAGATGGGAACCCACAGTGAGGTCGGGCACAGAAGAGTGGCTGGAAGGACTTGTATTCTACTGTAGACTTCTGAATGTATCTAAATAACATACAAATACAATCCATATGCAAACAATAAACACCAAGCTAATTCTGTACTTTTAAAAAAGTGTAACATATCTGAGCCCCATCTGGCTGCTCTGAGACCTTTTCATGCAGCTCAGTTTAGCTAAGTACATTTCTTTCAAAATATAATTCCATTTGCCACTTAAAATACTTTTTCAAACTCAATTTCAATGTTTTAGGGCACTTAAAGCATTTTCTATTTACATAAAAAAAATCTTACTCCTCTACTTGTCTTAGAACGAAACAAAACAAAATAACCCACCGATTTGAATCCTTTCTCATGATTTTGAAAACATCCTACCTGAGTTCCCATTTGCTACTTCTCTGGCTTCCTTCCTAATTTCAATGTACTTTTTCTTTCTTTCCATAGGAACCTATTGGGCAGAACAAAAATGTAAAACATTTTATAATAACAGTCATGCTTTTCTGTTTTAGTAGCAATCTGGTAAAAAAAAAAAAAAATTATAAATTTTTAAACAAAACAAATCAAAAAATTTTAAAACAAAACAAATTTGAAAGCACTCAAAACATCACCTCAACAAGAGACTAGTGAGTGTCCCTTAAGGAAAGCCCTTCCTGCAGATTCCCACAGAACTTGGCCCAGGCACTTAACCTCCATCTCAGCTCTGGTATAGCTCACTGCATACAGTGTGTACTAAGCTCTTATGCCTGGATTGCTGATAAATTTTATTATCTCTGAGCCTCAATTTCTTCAAATCTAGTTATGATATCATGGTGCCTTACACTGTTGTATAGAAGTAACATACAGCATGTGTCTACATGCTTAAGGTGCTAATTTTGTTGTTTTTTAGTTCTTTGAACATATGCCTAGAAAACAATCCTAGTCTTGTTCAAGGCAGGATCACCATTCACATATAGTGGTGAAGCACTAAGACGTGGTGGAGGTCAGCAGCTGTGTGGGGAAAGTGCACGCCATGGGGGATGAGCTAAGCTCTCTGCCCATCTTCCCACTTCCAATGGGTGGTGAAGGCAGCAACCAACACATTCTCACCAACTGTCCAATTGCTGAGGCTGGCATGTCAATCTGAGTTTGGCTAAAACAAACCTTGTCCCATCTGCCAGAGCAAGTCTTCCAGTTAACCCATGACTCCTCCATGATCCTGGCACGTTGCCCAAGCAAGTCCACAGTAAGGATCTCAATTTCTTTGACTGGAGCAATTCACTCAGAAAACAACTTCTGGGATATGTCCTAACACTTGCTTTTACTGGCACTGTCTTTCCTTCACATGTCAAGAGATGAAATCAAGTTCTGACAAATTTTGTAGTTGCCTGAGATTGTATCTGAAGCTAAAATTGCCAGTTTTTGTATAAACTACATGAAACTACCAGTTTTTGTTGAAAGCCAACTTGAATACTGGCAACTTAACGTGTTCGACATACTATGGTTTTCTTTGTGAGCACTTGGTAAGTCTTTTTTAACTTAGAACACTGACAATTTCACTCACCTCAACTTCTACAGGAAAATTATAGCGGCGCTTCAGGTCGATCAGATTTTCAAAAATAAGCAAGTTCTGTGAATACAAAGAATCATGTAAAAATAGCTGAATGGTGAAAATCCTCATAACTGATGTTACTTTAGAATTAATGCTATGTAGTAACTCATGGAAAAGCACTCCAGCTTTAAATATACCTATGCAGAATTAAAAGAACCACATCTTTAATATAAGATGGTGCAAATTATCTATAAGTTTAATATAATCTAACTTTTGAACTCCTACAATGACCACAATAGTGCATACCTTAGGAGAGGCCTACCTTTTCTGGTTTTTCACTAAACAGAAAACCTTGGTAAAATTTTAACTCATTGAAGACACAGCAGATGACAGATATGGCGCAGTTGTATGCTGCACAATGGTAAAGTCTTCTCCTCTCCAGCAGCTGATTCTCTCCTGCCATGTTCTCTGTAAATGCATCGTAGCACAATCTGCAGAGAGATACACATGACAAATCAATTCACACAACATGGCAATCACTGCTCAAGCCCTAATGCCATTCCCATTCAGCCTTTCTAGAGTGTCAGGCTTGTGCCAGGCAGAGTATTGGGCACTGGGAATATGAAAAGGAGCATGTCACCCATCTCACAGCAAGGGCAGCATACATACATGGATCTCGCAACACAGTGGTCAGTGATGCAACGGCATCAAGTGCAGTAAGTAAACAGAGGGAAGCAAGGAGGACAGACAAAAGCCCAGTCATGACTGAACAGTGACATCATTCACTGATGAGATAAGATAGCACTAAGAGGAGGCTAATAATGATTTTGTCTGGAGATGCAAAATGAGACACGGCAAAGTCTGTGTTCAATATTTACTAGGAGGAGAATTCCATTAAAAGACAAGTTTTAGAGAAAATACATTTGACTACTTTTGTGTTTAGAATGCCTGTTAAAAAATATTTACTATTCCTTTAATTTCAAATCTCAGAAAAAATACAATACTCTAAATCTTTTGTTACTGAAAATCACAGTACTAAAAATATATCAAGCTATTCAAGGGGAAAAACAGCAGGAAAAGAACAGTAAAAGGAAAAAGTTTTATTATTTGTAAAATATTAGTACAAGATAAAACAACTGTTATCCAATACACCCTAAATTAACACCCTAATTAAAGTTCACCTAAGTGGTTTATAAGAAGAAAACTATAAAAGCTCAGTATCTAAATATTTATTCACATTATATACACAAATAAAAATATATGTACCCAGAGCATTGATAAATACAATAAAATCCAAAATTAAGTAAAATCTTACTTAATCAGTGTCTTTGTAAGTTCATTTCCTTCTGTAATACGCGAGCCATGGAAAACTTGATTAATTTTAGATTCCTTAGCGTGAACATCATCTTTGGGAAGACGAGAATACATCACATCTAGAATCTTATAGTAGCCCATCTTCTTCGTGATTTGAGTATCAAAGGTAGATTCATTTAGCTTTAAAAAAGTAACATATAATTATCTTTGGTCTTATTAAACATGAAATAAACCTTATTGAATATACCAAATTTAATACTTAATATCCTTTAGACAGAATTTTAACAGTCAAAAACGCTAAATCACTTCAATAAGAAAGCATGCAATTGTCCAGGTCTAGAACATGAATACAAGCATTTGATATGTTACACTGGGTGAAGCAGGAAATAATGCATGACATCCAAATAGTGAGCCAAGGGTAGAAAATGTTTGCACAAAATCTTACTGAAGACAAGGGAGCAACAGGTGAAAATCCAAAATTCTCAGCTATTTTGAAGTTTGCATTAACAATGCGGCATCTGGGTATTCATAGTATTTCCCAACACGATTCCAAGGGAGGCTGAGTGATACATCCCGCCCTTGCCCCACAAAAAGTATCCAAAAGATGCCCTCATTCCTGAATCCTACCTCCTCATGTGGCAAAAAAGGACTTTGTAGACAAAATTTAGTCAAGGGCCTTGTGATGAGGAGATTATTTTGGATTGTTCAGGTGGGTAGGCCATAAATGAAATCACAGGCAACCTTGTAAGAAGTATGTGTAGGGAGATTAGATAGACAGGAAATGGAAATGTGACCAAGGAGGAAGAGACCAGGGTGATACCAGCGCAAGCCAAGCAATGCTGGCAGCCCCCAGAACTTGGAAGAGTCCGGGAACAACTCTTCCCTGAGTTCCCAGAGCGAGCGTGGCCCTGACAACACTGTGATGTCAGCCCAGTGAAACTGATTCTGGACTTCTGGCCTCCAGAAGTATAAGAGACTATCCAAATTTGCATAAGCTGTTACAGAAGCCACAGGAAATAAAGGCAGATCCCGTTTAGCCACAGGCTGTTATGTGGCACACTCCTCGAACAGCAAAGGCCATGTGACTGAGCACACAGCAGTATCTAAGCACACCAGTCAAATAGGCTGCTCACTTATTACTATTTAACTGATTTAAGGTGTATGATACCTTTGTAAACCTGGACTTCAACACATCAATGGCATCCACCACAATTGTGCTAAAGAATTCTCTCAAAGCATCCAGGCTACAGTGCCACAGCAGAGTAAGGAGAGAGCGGTCCACAAAGGATTGGCGTGTGAAACTTAGGCGGGGGTCATCCTTCCTGAACATTTCATACACGCTTTCCAGAAGGCCTACTTGTGTGACGCATGAACCCCTAAGAAAACAAGATAAAATTACATGAGCATCCCTGCTTTGAAGAGGAACTTTATGAGTGCCTACTACATAACAGGCAAAGTAAACACCAATGATTACAAATCACAAAAATAACTTTAAGGACTATATATATGCAAAATCCACAAAATACAAAAAGCATTTGCACATGAACCATACTACTTTTATTCACTCCCCAAAATCTTCAAATCAAACGTGGGCATTAAAAAGAAGAATGTTTCATTTACTTTCAAATCTGGTCTTGCTTCAAGAACATCTGAAAGGCTCTGGAAGAGTCTCAAGCTTAAAACAGACACATTTCCAGAATATAAAACTTAGAAGTTGGCCGGGCGTGGGGGCTCACGCCTGTAATCCCAGCACTTTGGGAGGCTGAGCCTAGCAGATCTTGAGATCAGGAGATTGAGACCACCCTGGCCAACACAGTGAAAACCTATCTCTACTAAAAATACAAAAATTAGCTGGACATGGTGGTGTGCGACTGTAGTCCCAGCTACTCTGGAGGCTGAGGCAGGAGAATCGCTTGAACACGGGAGGCAGTGGGTGCAGTGAGCCAAGATCGCACCACTGCACTCCCACCTGGCAACAGAGAGTCTGTCTCAAAAAAAAAAAAAAATTCAGAGGTTATGATTTTAAAGTTCTAGTTTCTCCCTACCAATGAACCACCGTTGCTATTTTCCAAACAGAAATATACCTATCTGGTCCTTTCTCACCTGAAAATAATATATTTGAATAATCATCTATAAAGTTCTGTCTATAAATCTATAAATTAAGAATGCAGAATTAGTATCCTCATCTATAAAAATAAGAGGGTTAAGACTAAACGACCATTAAAATTCTGATGTAATGAAATTAGATAACCCGTGCAAAAATATTAGATTCAGAAGGTAACTCAGTCATAAAGACTATAGGACACTACTAGATGCCATACAGGCTTTGCAAAGTTCGTTTGGGTACTACAATGGACTGAATGTTTAAGACTCCCCAAATTTCTATGTTGAAATCCTGACCCCCAATGTGATTGTATTAGGAGGTAAGGCTGCTGGGAGGTATCAGTGCTCTTATATAAGAGTTCCCAGAGGCCAGGCGTGGTGGCTCATGCCTGTAATCCCAGCACTTTGGGAGGCCGAGGTGGGTGGATCACCTGAGTTCAGGAGTTGGAGCGCATGGATCACCTGAGGTCAGGAGTTCAAGACCAGCCTGGCCAACATGGTGAAACCCCGTCTCTACTAAAAATACGAAAATTAGCCTGGCATGGTGGCAAATGCCTGTAATCCCAGCTACTCAGGAGGCTGAGGTAGGAGAATTGCTTGAACCTGGGAGGCGGAGGTTGCAGTGAGCTGAGATCCCACCTTTGTACTCCTGCCTGGGCAACAACAGAGAAACTCTGTCTCAAAAAAAAAAAGTCCCAGAGAGTTCCTTGACCCTTCTACCGCAGATGACTCAGAGAGAAGGTGCTGCCTATAAAGCAGGCAAGCAGGCTGTCATTAGACACTCCGTCAACTGGCAGCACGTTCTTGGACTTCCCAGCCTCCAGAACCATGAGAAATGTATTTCTGTTGTTTTATAGGCCACCCACTCTGTGCTATTTTGCTATAGCAGCCTGAAAGGAATAACACAGGCACCATCCTAGGTTCACTTTCTCTTGAGGAGCTTTCCACTAGCAAGCACAGTAGAGATGCACATAAAACATCCGACTCTTACATAAAAAGCTAAGGTGGTAAGGAGAAGCAAAATAAAAATAGCAAAGACCTAATGTTAAAAATGGGCCCACAGATGATTTACTGAAAAATAAATGCAAATTAAATATATAAAAATGTGTCCAACTTCACTCATAATAAAAGAAAAATTAAAGTAATAAAGGGAAACCCTTCCTCACCTATAAATTGGAAAAAGCCAAATGTTTCAGACTGTTGGCAAGACAGTGGTGAAACTGATACTCTAGTACATTACAAATAAGGAAGGAATGCAAATAATACAGCCCCAAAAGAAGCAATACAGAGATACCTGGCAAAAAATACAAATGCACTTACCTTTTCATCTGCATTTAGGAATCTACCCCAAAGATACATGGGCAAATACAAGATGATATAAACACAAGGTTATTCACAATGGCATTATTATTATTTTTTAAAAATATTTTTGTAACGATGGGGTTCTGCTATGTTGCTCAGGCGGGTCTCAAACTCCTGGGCTCAAGTGATCCTCCTGCCTCAGCCTCCCAAAGCACTGGGATTATAGGTGTAAGCCACCGCATCTGGCTTCCCCATGGCATTAAGTTTAACAGCAAAAGATTGAACCCAGAAGTTCATTGGCAAGGGGCTGCTTTAAAATGCTATGATACTTCTTTGCAATGAAGAATTAAACACCAATTTTTTAAGGAAAAAAATGAGGAAGATCTCTCTTCCTATCTCTTGATAGGACAAGATCTGTACAAGACACAAGTGGAAGAGATAGGAAGGTGATAGGGCAAAAGAGGAACGAGAGAGGGCCAGAGATGGAAGGAAGATCCTCTGAATTGTAGCTCATTATATAGCTTTGATTTTAGTCATGTAAATATCGTACACGTTCAAAATGAAAATTGAGTCAAAAGAAAAAACAAAATTTCTAAAATTTGAAAATTAATTAAATAAGCACTACTAATTGGTGTAATAACCACACATCAAGAAAAAAACTACATCAAATGATTTTGGAACACAAAATTTGACTGTATATCCTTAGATGGCATGTACTAAGAAAATTATAACTAAAATGAAAAATTTAAACTTCATCTAGCTGTCATTATTCTATGTAATAATACTGGTATTGTTATTTTTGAAAGTATTTTGTGTATATTGTAAAGCCATTGAGTAATTATAGACTATCACTGGAAACAACATTAGAAAGGAAAAGAGAACAAGATGCACAGTGTAAAGGAATAAGAAAAAAAGTTACATTAAAATCCTATAAAACAGAAAAAAGAATAAGAAAAAAATTTTAATAGTAAAAAATTTGGTTGCCTTTTATTTATTTTTGTTTATTTTTTCAGGCTCTCTGGCCTTATTCCCAATCTCAGGAAGCATGCAGTCCTTCACTATTACATATTTTGTTGGCTATTGGTTTTTCATAGACAGCCTTTGTCAGTTTTATCACAAATGAATGTTGTAGTTTGTCAAAAGTTTTCCTGCATCTACTGAAATTATAATGAGTTTTTGTCCTTTATTCTATTAATACAGTATCTAAGACTAACTGATTCCCAGAAAGAAAAGCAATCTTGTATTCTTACAATAAACACCAATAGGTTATGGTGTATAATGTTTTGTGGGTGTTGCTGAATAGGTTAATGTATCTTTAAACATTTTTGTGTTTATACTCAAGAAGGATACTGGTCTATAGTTTTCTTGTGCTGTCTTTCTCTTATGTTGGTCTTGCTACTTGTCTCACAAAAGGAGTTGGGAAGTGTTCCTTCCTCCTCTATATCCTGAAGGGTTTATGAACTACTGGTATAATTTCTTTTTAAATATTTTAATTCCAGGCACAGTGGCTCACACTTGTAATCCCAGCACTCCGGAGGCTGAGGAAGAAGCCCACGAGTTCAAGACCAGCCCAGGCAATTTAGGAAGAACCTCTCTACATTAAAAAAAAAAAAAAAAAAAAGGCTGGGCTTGATAGCACGCCTGTAGTTCCAGCTACTAGGCAGGCTGAAGGAAGACTACATGAGCCCAGAAGTCAAGGCTGCAGTGAGCCATGATCATGCCACTGCACTCCAGTAGGGCAATAGAACAAGACCCTATCTCAAAAATAAATGAATGAATGATAAAATTCAATGGAAGGAGTGGACCAAGAAAGCTAAATAGAAGCCTCTAGTGATTGTCTCCCCTGCAGAATGCCAAAATGAACAATTATCTGTACAAAAAAGCACCTTCGTAAGAACCAAAAATCAGGTGAGTGATCATAGTACCTGGTTTTAACTTCGTATTAAGGAAAGAGGCATTGAAGAAACTAAGAAAGATAGTCTTCAATCAACTATACCACTCCTTCCCCATCCCCCAGCAGCAGTCACACGCAGGACACAGAAGTTGTGCACTTGGGGGAGGAAAAGCACTTTGCATTGGAACTCAGTGCTGTCCTGTCACAGCAGAAACCAACCCAGGGCAGAATTTAGCCAGCACTCACTGAGAGAACATTTAGACCAGCCCTAATCAGAGGCAAACTATCCATCCCAGTGGTCAGAAACTACATTCTGGCAAGCCCTGCCACCATGGGCTAAAGTGCCTTGGGGTCCCAAATAAACTTGAAAGGCAACTAAGATGACAACAACTGCAATTCCTGGGCAAGTCCTGGTGCTGGGCTGGGCTCAGAACAAGTGGACTTGGGGGGGCACATGACCTGAGATACCAGCTGTGGCCACCATGGGAGTGCTTGGTCATGCCTACCCCAACCCCAGGTAGTACAGCTTGCAGTAATAAAAGTGACTCCTTTCTTCTGCTTGAGGAGGAGGGGGAGAGTAAAGAGGACTTTGTCTTGCAACTGGGATACCAGCTCAGCCACAGTAGAACAGGGCACCAGCGAGAATCCTGAGTCCCAGACGACATTTTTAGACACACTCTGGGCCAGAAGGGAACCCGCTGTCTTGAAGGGAAGGGCTCAGCCTGATGGGATTCATCACCTACTGACTAAAGAGCCTTTGGGTGATGAATTATCAGTGCCAACCAGGTAGTACTTGCTGTGGGCCTTGGTTAAGACCCAGGGCCATGCTGGCTTCAAGTGTGACCCAGTACATTCCCAGTTGTTGTGGTCACAAGGAGAAACCCTTTCTGCTTGAGAGAAGAAGGAAAAGTAAAGAAGACTTGCATTACGTTTCATGCCTTGCAACATGGGCACCAGCTTGGCCACAGAGACGCAATATCCCCAGAGGGCTTCTGGGGTCCCCAGTTCTAGGCCTTGGCTCTTAGACAGGATTTCTGGACCTGCCCTGGGCCAGAGGGGAGCCCACTACTCTGAAGGGACAGACTCAGAACTGGCAGCATTCACCACAAGCTGACTACAGAGCCCTTGAGCCTTGAGTGAAAATCAGCAGTAGCCAGGCAGTCCTCACTGCAGGCCTGGGGCAATGGTGACCACAGGGAGAGACTTCTCTATTTTAGGAAAGGGAAGGGAAGAATGAAAAGGACTTTGTTTTGCAGCTTGGGTACCAGCTCAACAGCAGTGGAACAGAGCACCAGGTAAATTGCTACAGTTCCCAACTCCAGGCCTGGCTCATAGATGGCATCTCTTGACCCACCTGGAGGCGGGGCGAAATCACTGTCTTGAAGGAAAGGACACAAGACTGGTTAGATTTGCCTCCTGCTGATTGTAGAGCCACTGGGCCTTGAATGAACACAGGCAGTAGCCAGGCAGTGGTCACTTAAGGCCTTCAGTGAGACCCAGTGCTGTGCTGTGCTGTGCTGTGTGCTTCAGGTCTGACCCCGTGCAGTCCCAGTGGTGGTGGCTACAGAGGTGTGCTCGTATCACCGTTCCCCCAGTTACAGGCAGCTCAGCAGAGACAGAGAGACTCCGTTTGTTTGAGAAAAGTAAGTAAAGGAAACAAGAGTCTCTGCCTGGTAAGCCAGGGAATTTTCCAAGATTGTACCAAGACCACCAAGGTGGTACCTCTATAAGTCTGTAAGAACCACAGTGTTACTGGGCTTGGGGTACCTCCTACAGCAGATTATGACTTAGGGTGGCCCCTAAAGCAGATATGGCTTCAGTGACCAAAGACTTAGATCAAACCCCCAAGTACCTTCAAATACCTGGAAAGTCTTCCCAAGAAGGATGTATATAAACAAGCCCAGAAGACTACAATAAATACCTAAAATATTTAATGCTCTGACATCAATGAACATCCACAACCATCAAAACCAGCCAAGAAAACATGACTTCACCAAATGAACTAAATAAGGCACCAACACCAATCCAAGAGAGACAGAGGTATGTGACCTTTCAGACAGAGAATTCAAAATAGCTGTTTTGAGGAAGGCCAACAAAGTTCAAGATAATACAGACAAGGAATCCAGAATCCTATCAGATAAATTAAACAAAGAGATTGAAAAAATTTAAAAGAATCAAGCAGAAATTCTGAATCTGAAAAGTGCAGATGACATACTGAAGAATGCACTGGAGTCCCTTAAAAGCAGAACTGATCAAGCAGAAGAATGAATTAGTGAACATGAAGGCAGGTTATTTGAAAATACACAGTCAGAGGGGACAAAAGAAAAAAATAAAAAACAATGAAGCACACCTACAAGATGGGGTTTCACCGTGTTAGCCAGGATGGTCTCGATCTCCTGACCTTGTGATCCGCCTGGCTCCGCCTCCCAAAGTGCTGGGATTACAGGCGTGAGCCACCGCACCTGGCCAGTATTTTACATTTTTAAATAATTAAGAGTATAACTGGATTATTTCTAACACAAAGAAGGGATAAATGTTTGAGGTGATGAATACTTCAGTCACCTTGACCTGATTATTACACATTTTACACCTGTATCAAAATATCTCATGTACCCCATAAATATATGCACCAATGACCAACAAAAACAAAAATATATCATATATCTGGGCCAAGCACAGTGGCCCACGCCTGTAATCCTAACACTTTGGGAGGCTCAGGCGGGAGGATTGCCTGAGCTCAGGACTTTGAGACCAGCCTGGACAACATGGCAAAACCCCGTCTCTACTAAAAATACAAAGAATTATGTGAGTGTGGTGGTGTGCCCCTGTAGTCTCAGCTACTCAGCAGGCTGAGGCACAAGAATCACTTGAACTCGGGAGTTGGAGGCTGCTGTGAGCCACTGCACTCCAGCTTGGGAGACAAAGTGAGACTCTGTCTGAAATATATATACACATACATACATATATTTGATAAAATTCACTAGTAGCTATCTGGAGGCCAGGCGCAGTGGCTCATGACTGTAATCCCAGCACTTTGGAAGGCCAAGGCAGGCAGATCACTTGAGCCCAGGAGTTCAAGACCAGCCTGGGCAATACGGCAAAACCCTGTGTGTATACAAAAAATACAAAACTAGCCGGGTGTGGTGGTACATCCCTGTAGTCCCAGCTACTCACGAGGCTGAAGTGGGAGGATTGCCTGAGCCCAGGAGGTCAAGGCTGCAGTGAGCCTTGACCACTGCACTCCAGCCTGGATAACAGAGTGTGACCCTGCATCTAAAAAAACAAAACAAAAAAGCCATGTAGGTCTGGGATTTTCTTTACAGAAAGATTTTTACTTATTAATTCAATTTAATTACTTGTTAGGGATGTATTCATACATTTTATTTCTTCTTGAGTCAGTTTTGGTAATTTATGACTTTCTATGAATTTGCCCATTTTGCTTAAGTTGCTGAATTTGCTGGCCTAATATTTTTCATAATATTCGCTTATAATCTTCTTAGTTTCTAAGAGGTCAGTGGGTTACATCCACCTCTTTTCATTCTTAAAAAGTTTTGACAAACTGTGGTTTTTCCTTTATTTTTGGTTAGCCTAGCTAATGGTTTGTCAACTCCTTTAACTTTGATTGTGAAAACAAATACTGATTTTTCTCCACCATTTTTCTGTTTCCTATTGCCTTCCTTTGTACTACCTTTGGTTTAGTTTTTTTTTTTTTTTTTCCTAGATTTTAAGGTAGAAAGTTCAGATTACTAACTTAAATCTTTCCTATTTTCAAACATAGGAATTAAAAGATATAAATTTCCCTCTGAGCACCTACTTAATTGCATCACATTTGGATATGCTTTATTCTTATTTTATTCAGATCAAAATACTATCTGACTTCCTTTATAATTTCTTATTTGACCCAAGGGCTATTTAGAAATATGTTATTTATTAATTAGTTGATTATTTACAAATATTTTCAGATTCCCAAAATTTCCTTGTGTTGTTGAATTCTAATTTAACTTCACTTTGGACAGAGAACATACTTTGTATGATTTCAACTTTTTTAAATTTGTCAAGACTTGTTTTTATGGTCTAGTATATAGTCTGTCCTAAAGAATGCTTCAAGTATGCTCAAAGAGAATGTGTTCTGCTGCTGTGCAGAATTCTGTTTTATAGTTGGTTAATTATGATATCTTTTAAAATATCAGTAGAAAGGAATGAACTATGTCATGGATGAACATCAAAAACATTATGCTGAACAAAGAAGCCAGGAATAAGAAATCACATATTGTATAATTCCACTTATATAAAACGTCCAGAGAAGGCAGATTTATAAAGACAGAAAGTAGATTAGCGTTTGCATGGAGCTAGGATCAGCAATAGCAGTCAATTGTAAATGGTCCTATGGGGTTTTACTGGGGAATAAAAATGTTGCATGGTGCTGGTTGCATACTCAATAAAGTTCCTAAAAATCATGGAACTATATACTTACAGTTGGTGAAGTTTATGATCTGTAAAATACAACTCAAGACAAATTTACATGGATATTTACAAATTCAATATAGATAAATGCCAATTTTAAAAATTCATTGGAAGTTTACTATGAGAACTAACCATGGCATCAAACCCTTACTTCAAAAATCAATAATCAGGGCCAGGTGGGGTGGCTCACATCTGTAATCCCAGCACTTTGGGAGGCCCAGGCAGGCGGATCATTTGAGGTCAGGAGTTTGAGACCAGACTGGTCAACATGGTGAGACACCGTCTCTACTAAAAATACAAAAATTAACCATTGTGGTGGGGTGTGCCTGTAATCCCAGCTACTTGGGAGGCTGACAGAGGAGAATCACTTGAACCTGGAAGATGGAGGCTGCAGTGAGCCAATATCAGGCACTCCAGCCTGAGTGACAGAGCCACTCTGTCTCAAGAAAAAAAAAAAAAAAAATCAATAACCAATTATGTCCTATCTTTCCCACTATATTATTGCTAAAATACTAAATTGTATTTTTGGTAATCAAACAATCCCAGTGATGAGACCTTCATTACACTGCAATTCCGGGCACTAAATTTAGAAGGAATAAAAGAATCAGAAAAATGGCCATTTGTAACTCTTAATGAAATTAAGTGATTCAGGGCAACCATCATTAATGGAGCTAAATCATGAGGAAAATGCAATGATGCACACGGCTAGTCAATCCTAGCATCACTAAAAGCAGGACCACCAGATATTATACACCTCCTAATGCCATGAATAAGAAGTATAAAGTATCAACTATTAGTCTTGCCAAAATTTCAACCTGAATCTAACTGTGTTATGTTAGACATAACTTTCCCTTTACAGAAAACCCAAGGACTGGAGGAAGAAGTTAAATGAATGTAAAAGAATCAGATATATCCAGAATATAAGACATTGTACAGGACAAGTGTCCAAGTTTCTCCAACAAAATAAATAATAAAGGAGAAGACTGTTTTAAATGCAGATTGAAGAGACACAACAGTGAAATGCCATGTATGAACCTCGTTTGGATCATATTTCAAATAACCCGACACTGTCAGCATGTTTGAGACTACTGAGGAAATCTGACTACGAATTACTGATAATTTCGTTCAGCTGATAATGGTACTATGGCTATTCAAGAAAACTGCTTTAAGAGATATATACAGAAGGATTTAGAGATGAAATGACATGGTGTCCGAGATTTGCTTTAAATTACAATAGCAGCAGCAAAAAAGAAAAATGATAAAAGGCCAGATGAAGCTTGGAAAATGCTGAACTTTGTTCAATCTGGAGCCTTATTTATACTCTTCTTCTAGCTTTGTGTATGTTTGAAAAATATAATAATAAAAGTCTTGTTTTAAAGACAAAAAAAATAAAAGTTTAGTAGCAAGAATGTAATTGTCACTCAGCTTTTTTTTGAACACAGAAGATAATTTCCCACAAAACCGAAATGCGTATGGTTTCTGAGATCCCAGACCAGAATGACTTACCTTCTGGCAATCCTCTTGAAACTGGATTGAAATAATTCTTCCATGACATGCTGCTGTTCCCGACAAAGAACTTCTGTCATCAATTCCAACAACATAGGGCTTTGAGATAATTCCAATGCATCTAGAAACTAGAAAAAATACATCAACATCATCAAAATTTTGTTGAGTTTTACTAAAAATATAAAAAGTTTCTTATGTAATAAAAATATATAACATATAGAAAAATATACCAGAATTTCACAGACTTAACAAATACCAGTATTTCTGTCATTTTTATGGATATTGTGAGTGGCTGGTATATATCAATGTTCACTATACCGAGCCTAGATTCTTTTTAGGGTTTTTTTTTTTTTGAGACAGAGTCTCACTCTATCGCCCAGGCTGGAGTGCAGTGGCGCGATCTCGGCTCACTGCAAGCTCTGCCTCCCGGGTTCACGCCAGTATCCTGCCTCAGTCTCCCGAGTAGCTGGCACTACAGGTGCCCGCCACCACGCCTGGCTAATTTTTTGTAGTTTTAGTAGAGACAGGGTTTCACCATGTTAGCCAGGATGGTCTCGATCTCCTGACCTGGTGATCTGCCCTCCTCGGCCTCCCAAAGTGCTGAGATTACAGGTGTGAGCCACTGTGCCCGGCCCCGATTCTTTTTAGGTTTTGCAGATGTTACTCTTCTCTCTATCTCAGGTTCTGAGAGTACATGGAGACAAGCCTTCAACAGGTCCCCCCCTCCTTCACCATGCCAGGGACTCTTGCCCTCACTCTGATTCTGGTAATGTGCATCTTTTACACACCGTCCTCGCTACAGAGGGGATATCCCAGGCCACTCCCCTGATGCTCTCATCTTGACTCTCCCCTTTTCCATCTCAGTTTCTGTTCTACTTTCTAGGAGATATCTTAATTTTATCTTCAGAATAGAACAGGTATGTTTTTTAAATTTTGCTTCTGCATATTTAATTTCCAAGGATCATTATCCTATCTTGTGGACACAATACCTTCTTTCATCTCTGAAATTGTGTGCAGTTTCCACTGCACTCCAGTCTAGGTGACAGAGCAAGACCCTGTCTCAAAACAAAACAAAACAAAACAAAACACACCAATGCATTTCATGTCTATGTCCAGACTTGGGTCCCATCCCCAAGATAACTCATGTATACACAAACATTCCAAAATCCGAAACACTTTTGGTTCCAAGCATTTCAGATAAGGGATGCTCAAACTATCGTATTAGGGATAATCACGAAATGCTTCTCAAATAACTGCTATTCTATAAAATTTAGAAACTGGAAATTATTGGTAATATTCTATTTCTTAGCTTCTTTTGGTATTACTATTCATAACTTAAATATACTTTACATATTCCATTTTATGCATAAAATATTTCACAATTTAAAAATGGGAGAAAAAAACAAATTCTCGTGGATTCACATATATGCCTGTCACTGCTTTCCAAGTGAATTAAATGGATTCTCAGGCTACGCACACATAAATAAATGCGATATGGTGCTGATTTGGTATGTGCTTCCTCTTCTACAAATAATGACCCTAGTAAAAATGTACTGTACAAGCTTTGTGTAGAAAGAATATTCTGAATGACCTATTGGGTGGTTTACAACTTCTCTGATTATGGGTATTTTACTCACTTCTTTTCATCAAGATATGTAACAAGAAAAAAAAAAATCAGTGTTCTAATTTTACTTGATACTACTAGAAACCAACCTTTTTCATGCAGTCCACATAATTATTGAACCGCGGAGTTCCTGGGGGAAATTCTCTGGACTGCATGGGGAAGTGAGCAACGATGAGCTGCTCCAGAACACGCCTAAGTTCCTCCAGACTGCCTCCGGTGAGGCTGGTGAAGAATGGAAGAAGAGTGACAGCTTGGCCCTGTGGAACAAGGCAGACATAAGAAACTGCACGAGTTATGGCTTATATACCCCACAGAATAAATAAAATTACTGTTTTCTAAAGACATTGCAAATAAAGCACTATGTAGAATCAATGAATCACTTCAGCATAATTTCTAAATTATATTAAAAACTAACCTGAATACAATTCTGTACCTCAGCTTTTTTTTTTTTTTGGAGATGCAGTCTCACTCTGTCACCCAGGCTGGAGTGCAGTGGCACGATCTAGGCTTACTGCAACCTCCGCCTCCTGGGTTCAAGTGATTCTCCCTGCCTCAGCCTCCAGAGCAGCAGGGATTACAGGCGCCTGCCACCACACCCAGCTAATTTTTTTCATATTTTTCATAGAGACAGGGTTTTGCCATGTTGGCCAGGATAGTCTCAAACTCCTGATCTCAGGAGATTCACCTGCCTTGGCCTCCCAAAATGCTGGGATTACAGGCATGAGCCACTGTGCCCAACCTATACCTCAGCTTTGACTCTTACCCAGGCTAGTCGGTTGACTCCAGCTATGGACACATAAATAAATGGGACATGGTGCTGATTCGATATGTGCTTCCTCTTCTACAAATAATGACCCTAGTAAAAATGTACTGTACAAGCTTTGTGTAAAAAGAACATTTTGAATAACCTAAGGAGTGGTTTACAACTACACATTGCAGAACTACGTAAGAACTTCATACTGAGCTTAACAAGAACTAGGAGTTGATTCCTATTCTCCCTTGCATGGCAGATAAATTCCAAGACTGTCTACGGAGAAATGGGAAACTTGATTAATCACACAGCAGAAAATTCTAAAGAATTTTTTATCCAGTAAAAAGGTTCCCTTGAATTGAGGTCACTTTTCAATAGCGTTTAAAATCTAATTGTTCTAGGACTTTAAAATTAGTAACCTTAAAATGACAATATTTATTAATTCTTGACCCTAAAAATCACCAAAAATTTTTATATTATTTTTAATAGAAAAATGACTGAGTAATAAAGTCATTATAGCACAAAAAGCCAAATTAAATCATATGTATGCAAACACAAATGTTAATTCATCCAAATATGATAATCTTATACTTTAAAAGAAATGTTCTAGGCCGGGCGTGGTGGCTCACACCTGTAATCCCAGCACTTTGCGAGGCCGAGGCAGGCAGATCACTTGAAGTCAGGAGTTTGAGACCAGCCTGGCCACTATGGTGAAATATACTAAAAATACAAAAATTAGCCAGGCCTGGTGATGCACGCCTGAGATCCCAGCTACTCGGGAGGCTGAGGCACGAGAATCACTTGAACCCAAGAGGCAGAGGTTGCAGTGAGCCATGATTGCGCCAATGCACTTCAGCCTGGGCGACAAAGCGAGACTGTCTCAGAAAAGAAAAGAAGAAAAGAAAAAGAAAAAGAAAACGAAAAGAGAGAGAGAGACAGAAAGAAAGGGATGGAAGGAAGGAGGGAGGGAGGGAGGGAGGGAGGGAAGGGAGGGAGGGAGGAAGGAAGGAAGGAAGGAAAGAAATGTTCTCATGTCTTGGAGAGACATCCTGAACTGAAGCAGGTGCAGGTCAGATAACACGCCCAGCCTGCTTGGCCTTCCTTGCCCGCTGACAGGTGGGTTGACTACACAGGTGAAATAAACACGCCCAAACAGGATGGTTATCGAGACTGGCTAATAAGTACAGGGGGATTACCGTGCTAGTCTCCCTATTTTTGAACATGTTTGAAATTTCCCATAATAAAAAATAAAAAACATCACAAATATGCAAAAATAAAAAATATGAAAATAGAAGAGAACGTAATCCAAAAAAAATAAATATTTCACTGTTTACCTTTAAATGTAGATCCAGTTTTGTGTCAGCAAGTAGACTAATATATGTTGTAAAGACTTCAGGGAATGAACCATGACTTGTATTAAAAGATACAGATGAATCAATCTAAAGGAAGGAAAAGAAAAACAGGACACATTTGTATATTACATCTTTATTTCCTTTGTTTAAATTCCAGAAATGAACTGTAAATTTAATTATGGGCTTCAATAATATTTTCACAATCGTATTGTAAAATATTGTAATACTATCTGTTAAGACAATACATGCAAGGGTACATTAAAAAGATATAGCATAAGAAATAGTAAGTCTAATAAACAATGGAAAAAATTTAAAAAGGTAAATATAAGCAATGAGCTTTTGGAGCAACCTCCATCAAATTTTAAAGACACAAGTTACAGAGTTCAGAAGAACAAACATGACTGCTTTTTAAAGGAATCTCAAAATACCTGTAAAATTTTTGCCAGTAAGGCCAGCACTGCCATTTTAGTTTCGAGAGGGGAATCTTTGGCCCACCAGGAATCACACTTCTTCCAGTGTTGCAGAATTGTAGTCGCAAGTTTCAGTCCTTGGTGTTTCTGGCTTGCTCGCTCCCTGAAGCTCTGGTCTAACATGCCATTCAAAACAGTACTCACCTAAGACAATTTCGTTGTGAGTGAAGAAAAATTCTTAATTTTGAAAATGACAGAAAACAAAATTTACCTTTATTTCAAAGCTATTCTTGGAAAAGAAGCTATTTCTATAATAGATGTTTATCTACTTCAAAAGTCCTCGAGTTTGATTTGAGGTGCACTTTAACCATAGTTTTTCCACAGAAAGTACAGGGTGGCCTTAGCTATGTCATCAGCCTCATCCAGCTTGTCCTGGCTTTCCTAGTCTGGGCAGTCTAGGAAACAGGAGTCAGCTCTCTTCTGTCACCACCACCATCACTGTACATGCATGCACACGCACACACGGGTGTACACACACAAGCGCATAAATATGCACATATGCACAAATGCACACTTCCTGTCCCACCACTACTGTACATGCATGCACAAGCACACACAGATGTACACACATAAGCAAACATGCACCCAAGCACATACTTCTGGTCCTACCACCATACAGGCACACACTAGCACACACAGGTGTGCACACACAAGCGAACATGCACATGCGCAAATGCACACTTCCTGTTCAACTACCATCATACATGCACACCCACATTTCCTATCTCACCACCACTCCTGCAACAGAGTGACAGGCTCATTTTGATCAGATTAACATTCACTATTCTGTCATTCTGACTATGCAAACATTTTTCACAGATGTTCCAAGTAGAAACAATGCTTTTTCCTTTTTGCACATTTTGTACTCCCTGAAGCTAATCTTGTTTGCTTTCATTGCGGTTTTCAATGCGTCTGTCATTAATTCGTCATCAAACTCTCCCAAGTTATGAAATTGCTGCAAGATCTCTAAGCCCATCAGGTCTATCTGCCGCATCTCTGTGGCAACTCAGCTCCTGAACTGCAATGCTGGTGCTGGGCCATCCACGCCTCTGTGCGGGGCTGACATACTGCATCCAGCACCTTCCCGTCTTGGCTTACTGCGTGATCACTCTCCACCCAGCAGCAACGTGATGAGAGTGCACAGGGACCTCTTGGGGATCTGGCATGTCTAAAACATCTGCATTCCACTCTCACATAATGGATAATCCTGCTGGATTCAGAACTCTAGGCTGGAGACTTCTCTCATGAATTGTGGAAGAAATCTGGTTCAAGTCTTGCAGTGCCCACACTGCTGCTGAGAAGACATATGTCATTCAATTTCTAGATCTTTTCACACATAACTGCTTTTTCTCCAGTGGAAACCCGAGAATCTTTTCTTGTACTGAAACCTCAGGGTTCTGAATTCTCAAGAAATGTGTTCCACGTGGAGCTGTTCCTGTGCACCATGCTGGAAACTCCATGGCCCTCTTCCACCTGGAAACTCAAAGCCTTTGCTTCTGGGCTCCTCTGGAGCTGTGTCCTCAGCAAACGCCTCTCCTGGCCCCTGCCTTCTGGAGCCAAGGCCCTGCTGCTCAACCTCGTGCATGAATGCCTAGTCTCCTCCTCATTTCTCTCGTGTTTTCCGTTTTGTCTTTTCACTCTACTCTCTGTGAGAGTTACTCAAGTTTACCTTCCAAACTCTTTCATTTTTTTTTTTTTTTTTTTTTAGACGGAGTCTCGCTCTGTCACCCAGGCTGGAGTGCAGTGGCCGGATCTCAGCTCACTGCAAGCTCCGCCTCCCAGGTTTACGCCATTCTCCTGCCTCAGCCTCCCGAGTAGCTGGGACTACAGGCGCCCGCCACGTCGCCCGGCTAGTTTTTTGTATTTTTTAGTAGAGACGGGGTTTCACGGGGTTAGCCAGGATGGTCTCGATCTCCTGACCTTGTGATCCGCCCGTCTCGGCCTCCCAAAGTGCTGGGATTACAGGCTTGAGCCACCGCGCCCAGCCCAAACTCTTTCATTTTTAATTTCTGATGCCTATGCTTAATTCCCAAGAGACCTTTTTTGTTCTCTGATGTTCATTCTCCAAAGCAATTCTTATTTCAGTTTTGTTTTTCATCTTTCAGTTTTACTTCTCCATCTTACATTCCCATCTCAGTGAACGGGCCTTGCCACAGTTGCCCATGTCCTGCTATGCCCTCTAGCGTCCCTTTCCCCAGGTGCCTGGGCCCCAGGGCTGCCGGCTCACAGGTATCACCCGCCTAGAAGTGCTGTGCAGCATGCAGGGCTCACTGGTGGGGAGGATCACTGTCGCTGACCCAGCTGGCTGTGATGTCTGCATCTTTATTTTCTCTTAGGGCTTGTCAAGGTATTCTGGTGCCCTGCCAAGGGCAGACGCTGAACTGTATTCGGAGGGAAAGGGCAGACAGCCTCAAAGTCTAGAATTTAGGTAGGTTTGCACTTAACTTCCCTCTTTTCCTGATGGTATCCATATATTCAGCCATGCCAGAGCCCCCTAGTCTGGAGGTCTCTATCCTCTCCAGGGAGTCACTGCCTCCTGCCTTCTCTTTAAGTGGATCAGACCTCCAGCAGCAGGGAAAGGAGGCTGCCCTGCACGGGAAAGCTGACCTTTGCCTAATCCTCTCTTAGCCTCTGCTCACCCCTGCTCTCATGCCTGCCCTGCTGGGGCTCAGCACTTCCAACTTCCGATGTTGCCACACCTGTCCTTTAGATTTACAACTCTTGTTACTCTTGGAAATCCTTTTCTCCTTTTCTCTGTGTACTTTGAGACTGTAGTGGTGTTTCTGTTAAATCTCATTCTGTTACTTTAGAGGAATTTAGGGCAGGAATAGAGGTTAAGGTGTATGCTTTTTCTATCATTTCCATCAGAGGTCATAGTTTACAAAATCAGAATGTTAAATCTGAGTGTCATCTACTACGATTTTATTTCTAATTTTAAAGAATACAAATTCCTACTGCAATCTACCACAAAAGATTCCCTTACAACAGACAAGCACTGTTCCCAATAAAAGCTCAACTTATGAAATCATGTACTCTCCCTTAAAATGGTCATACCAACAGTTAACAGTTTCTGTCCACAGAACAAAATAAATTTCAAAATCCCAGAGGTTTAGCAAACGAAAGTCAACTATATATTAAATACTGATCTCCAGAGAGTCAATGTGAGGGGGAAAGGGCGACACAGCAGGAACGTGCCAGAAATGATAACTCAGTATCGAGGCCACAAGAGAGCTCTGAGAACAGAGAGGTCTACCGGGGGCAGAGACCTGCCTGCAGCTGGTGTGAATGCAAAGCCAGCTCTGGGCCCTAGGATGGGTTTGTAAGCTCCAAGGCCACGTCTTGGCAAACATCAATATCCTGCATAGCTGTGCCTTATAATATTTAGGCTTAGAAATTTGCAAAGCATGAGGGAATAGAAAAAATAATCAATGTTTCAACATCCAGTAACACTCATGAGCTATTTTTTATTTTTTTGAGACAGAGTCTCACTCTATCACCCAGGCTGGAGTGCAGTGGGCGTGATCTCTGCTCACTGCAACCTCCGCCTCTCAGGTTCAAGCAATTCTCCTGCTTCAGCCTCCTGAGTAGCTGGGATTACAGGCGCGTACCACCATGCCTGGCTAATTTTTTGCATTTTTATTTTGCCATGTTTGCCACGCTGGGCTCAAATTCCTGACCTCTGGTGATCCACCCACCTCCACCTCCCAAAGTGCTGGGATTATAAGCATGAGCCACCATGCCTGGCCTAACATTCATTAACTATTGATAAGGGGTATGTTTTGGGTTTTTCTGAGTTTGTTAAAAGCAAAAGCTTTTAACCTTCTAGGAAAAAGTCTTGTCATACTTTAATGAAATATTTCAGGAATATGGCAACCCTTTTATGAGGATTATATAAGAAAATATTGACCAGGCGCGGTGGCTCACGCCTGTAATCCCAGCACTTCAGGAGGCCAAAGCGGGCGGATCACGAGGTCACTTCAAGACCAGCCTGGCCAACATAGTGAAATCCTGTCTCTACTAAAAATACAAAAAATTAGCTAGACGTGGTGGCAGATGCCTGTAATCCCAGCTACTCGGAAGGCTGAGGCAAGAGAATCGCTTCAATCTGGGATGCAGACATTGCAGTCAGAAGAGATCGTGCCACTGCACTCCAGCCTGGGCAACCGTGCAAGACTCTGTCTCAAAAAAAAAAAAAAAAAGAAAGTTTATTTAAAAGAAAATTTTGTTACCATTTTGGGATTTTCCACTGATGACTGCATGAGCTCCAATACAGCAAGATCCAGATTTTTCAATAATTCCATGTTGATCGTTTCTGAGAACAAGCTATAGAAATACTCCCCATGGGAGAACTGGATGACGCTGCTCTGTAAGCTGCCCAAGGATGGCATGGACAGCACTGCTGGGTTCAGGAGAAGACTCACGAGGCGCTCACACTGGAAAAAAGAAAGGAGAGGTACCATAACCGGGGCACATCTTTGCATGGCACAGAAAGACCCTTGGCAACTGATTAACTTTGAAATTGGAAAATGACACAGGCCTAAAAAGCCTGATATGTGAAGTCTGGATTCAAGCTGAAATTGTATATATTTCAACTAGCCTCCATCTTCTAGGTTTCATTTTGGGAAAGAAATCTTCCTTGACCCATATTTCTTCCAAATGTCCAAAAATCTTGTAGTTGTTTTTTATTTTTATTTTTTGAGACAGGGTCTCGCTCTGTTGCCCAGGCTGGAGTGCAGTGGCACGATCTCGGCTCACTGCAAATCTCCACCTCCTAGGTTCAAGCGATTCTCCAGCCTCAGCCTCCCGAGTAGCTGGGACTACAAGCATGTGTCACCATATCTGGCTAATTTTTTTAAATTTTTGTTGTAGAAACAGGGTCTCGCTACGTTGCCCAGGCTGGTCTCAAACTCCTGGGCTCAAGCCACCTGCCTACCCCACCATTGTTGCTTTGAGGGTAGAGTCTATTAAGGGTGAGTATTTTTAGACAGTTTAAATATATAATTGTTTACATTAATTGGACAAAGGGGTGAAAAGGGGGTTTCTGCTACAGAAGAAAGGAAGTTGAGATGGAGTGAACACAGGGCTGGCTGCAGATTTCAGCTACAACAGGGACTATTTAAAGTCAGCCCTGCATGGTTCAAAGAGCCATGAGAATATTTTTTTTGGAGACTCTGGTTCCTCTGGGATTATCCTTCAGAGGCCCTCCCAATCATCCATGTGAAGGACCACCAAGGAGAGAAGAGGCCACATGTCAACGCGGCTCAGCTTCACAGTCACAAAATGTTCTCTAGCTAATTCCTTTTGGAAACAAAGTGGGATAGACAAAACCTTAATATAAAAAGAATGTTGTTCTATTCTTTTTTTTTTTTTTTTTAACTATTGAGAAAATAATCTTTCAGAAAGAAAGTTGGCTCATGCAAATCACACAATACTCGTCCAGCTAAAACCTTACTACCCCCCAATTCCACAGTTTCTAGAGACACCTGCAAGTGACACGTGTATTTCTATTATTAGGGGGGTCCAGCATGAAGACGTGTTTTTCCTACCAGTCCTCCAAAAGCAAAGGCTAACTCCAGAAGTCCGCTGGCCAGTTGCTTACAACTGAGGTCTAGAGAAGGCAAACACTGTCTCTCATCTCCAGGGGCAATGCCTTTATAAACCAGGGAAAGAAGTTCTGTGCCAATAGAATGATGCAGATCTGTGGACTAAAAGAAAGCCAACATTGAAAAGATATTTCTTAGAAGAAAACAACTCCACTCCTCTCATTAAATAAAAAGCCCACTTCAGATAGCACTGACAATTACCTTCCTATATTCAGAAAAATTTTAATTCAACTTTGCTTTTGTTGTTCTTGCTGTTTTGAGACAAAGTCTCGCTCTGTCGCCCAGGCTGGAGTGCAGTGGCACAATTGTGAGCCACGATTGTGCCACTGCAGCCTCAAGCTTTCAGGCTCAAGCAATCCTCCCACCTTAGCCTCCTGAGTAGCTGGAACTATGGGTCCGTGGCACCCACTCCTGGACAATGTTTTTGTGTGTGTTTTTTTTGTTTGTAGAGATGAATCCCTGCCATGTTGCCTGGGCTGGTCTCAAACTTCTGGCCTCAAGCAATCCTCCTATCTGAGCCTCCCAAAGTGCTGGGATTACAGGTATGAGCCACTGTATCTGGCTCAACCTTGCTCTCTATGCTAGATTCTTCATTTGTGTTATCTTGCCACAAAGGTACAACAGCAGTTCCTAAAGTTTTTCAGAAAGCTGCCCTGGAAATATCCAAATGTCCTTTATTTTACTTTCATTTTATATTTATAAATTTTTACATTTGCTTTCATATTTATATTGATATATAATAGATATACAGATAGATAATATCTACATGTCTAGAGCAAGTATTTCTATAATTCCCATTTCAGCATGCTCAATACATAAAGGACTTTTAAGAATATAAATAAATACACTAATTACCATACTAAAGCTAAAATAAATGTAAAAACAAATACGTTATAGTTACCTGAGATGGTAATATACTATGCAGAAGCCCAGCTCTGTGAAGCTGTTTACAGGCAGACACAACAGCAGCCAGCCTGCTCCTGTCCATTTGCGCGTCAGGGCCATACAAGTTGACGGCACAAAGCTCCTCAATGCTGGCCATGCGAGAAAAACAGTAAATTAGGTGAGCTCTGATCTCATTAAATTATTAAGATACACTGAAAAAAATGTTTGCACTGTTGTGAAAGCAAACAGAGGCAACACCTAACAGGATCCATATGCACTAAGCTAGCATGGAGATCAAACACGGCGCTAACCACATCTGAAGTTTGCTTAAGTTTGGTGCAGGGAAGGCACTGGTTATATGTGATTTCTAAACAACTACTGAGGTCACTGGCAGCAAACATCCCACTAATATGAGCCTTCGCTGAGGAAGCAGGAGCAGCTGCAGGAGCACGGCAACATACTAGGGCCTGAAATTCCAGGACAACACGTCCCCGATTGTTGACCCAAGTACCCACCTCTGTGCTGTTATTTTCTCTCTCAGATGAGTCTCTAGGATATCTTTGTATGGGGACATCTTTAGCGCTTTCATCAGGTTCACACAAACATCAGGAAGATGAGCCATAACCTGGACGTCTCCGATGTTGAAACCTACGCTTGCAGGCTCACACAGCGTCTGCACCAGGACTCTCATCAAGTGTGTATTACACAAGTCCTTCTTCAGGAGCTATAACAGATGGTTTGATAAAAACACTTCGTCAGCCAGCATTTCTATTTTCACCAGAGTGTAGGGCCCACAAGGTTGGGAACTTCTGCCTAAGGGAGAGGTGGACAGAGTTTCTCTGTAAAACGGGGGCAGCGTAAACACGTGAGGTTTGTGGGCTAGACAGTCTCTGCTGCAACTCCATACGCGTCTGATAAGAAAGCAGCACAGACAACAGGTGGAGAGAGGCGCACAGCCATGCTCCTATATAGCTTTATCTATGGAGCAGGCAGCAGGTGGGGCTGTGTCCATGCACAGGGTTTCCCAGCTCCTGACTCAGGACACTGCTGCATCCCAGGGCCTGGTGTGCCATAGGCGCCTGGCAGAGATTCCCTGAATGAACTGACTGGAGTTTGTTTACACAATAAGCCTCATGGATAAATCTATAAATATTTGCTAGTATGTGTCTCCTAAGGTAAACGTTTGATCATAGCATAAAATATAGCATCCAATAAAACAATTAGAAAAAACTACTTTGTATTTTTATTCAAACAATGAAACTCTGAAGGACATGCAAAGTTTCATGATTTTCGATAGATCGTTCACCATGATGACTGTAGTTATTAACGATGCATTGTAATTTTGCAAATTGCTAAGAAAATAGATTTAAAAGTTCTCATCACAAAAAATGTTACATATGTGAGGTAACAGATACGTTAATTAGCTTGATTTAGCCATTCCACAAGGCAAACCATATCAAAACATCATGCTGTATAACATAAATACAGTTTTTGTCAACTAAAATAACTTGACAAATTTATTTTGACAGATAACTCTTCTGAGAATGTAGTTTTAGAAAAGCCAAAACCTGGCCTTCTCTTCCTGGTTCTTCCCGAAGTCAGGAAAAGCTGGGTTGAGAGAACGAAAAAGAATAATAATAATAATAACCATAATAATTTTTTTAAGCCAAAATCCCTTCTAATAGAAACCTTTGAAGCAGTTTTCTAGTAACAAAAACTGACCTCAAATTAACAGAGCAGCCTACCTTCCATCCTTCTGGGGAGGTGTTCAGCAGAGTCGTGGTGAACTCCATAATCCGGACCACAATGGTGCATTTGCTGTAGTTGTACCTTTCTCCCTCTTGGGGGCTTGGTCTGTCACCTGCTGCCCCAGTGCCAAAGCACTTTTCTGCTGCTATAATGTCATGCATGGCAATGCTTTCTAAAAAGAAAGCCACTGCTTTCAAAAGTGAAGACTGGGCTTCAGTACCTAGAAGCAATTATAATAAAATATTAATATATGCTTCCTTTCAACTCCACTAAGATTAATATAAAATTGCTTCTCTAAGTATAGGTATGACATACGTTCAGTAAAAATTCAAAATTTTTCAAAAGAAACAAACAGCTTAATAATAGCTGAATAAAGTGGCAGTTATTGCTTCTCATATCAAAAGGACACACTGATGGAAGGTCAGGTCTTTATTCTCAAACATTACATGTGAGAAGATAAATTAATATGATCATTTTAAAAGGCGATTTGGCAATTCATACCAAGTTTTAAAAAATATGCATGCCAATTTCTATCAAATGTTTAAAAACTCATTATGCTTTGATCCAGCACTGAAATTTTAACCTAATGAAATGACTGCAGAATTGCAGAGATGTGGTTGTAAGAATGTTCTTTTTAGCACTGTTATTAACAATGAATGCTATTAATAATGAAAAAATAAAAAATCCTGTCCTTCAAAGGACAGAAACAAATTATGGAGCAGTATTCAAGCAGGTGTGGACGGGCACCAGTCATCTTAATCAACTTTCAGATCCATCCTCAAAAGGGCTTTGTCATAAAACTCATTTGTCTGAAAACACCCTGGAGCTGGTTCTCCTTTCCCTTCTCAGCCTGTTCATCAGGACTCTCCTGCTTAAGGAAAGGCAGACCCACCCTCACCTCTCTCCAGTCTAACTATAGTTTATTACTCCAAGGTGCACAGCCCTTCAGAGAACCAAGGGACAATTTAAAATACTTGTATACTGTTGAAAGAGTAAAGGCAATGATTGAGTAAGAAAGCCTTTTTGTAAGTCTCGGCCGGGCGCGGTGGCTCAAGCCTGTAATCCCAGCACTTTGGGAGGCCGAGACGGGCGGATCACGAGGTCAGGAGATCGAGACCATCCTGGCTAACACGGTGAAACCCTGTCTCTACTAAAATACAAAAAAAATTAGCCGGGCGAGGTGGCGGGCGCCTGTACTCCCAGCTACTCGGGAGGCTGAGGCAGGAGAATGGCGTGAACCCGGGAGGCGGGGCTTGCAGTGAGCTGAGATCCGGCCACTGCACTCCAGCCTGGGCAACAGAGCCAGACTTCGTCTCAAAAAAAAAGAGAAAGCCTTTTTGTAAGTCTCACAGTTTCTAATTCTTTGTTTCCAACATAATTTAAGGAAAGTCAAACTGTCAACTGATCTCATTAAAAATAATTTTGATAACATGCATTTTGATGTATTCCAAGAACTGAGATAACTCACATTAAGAATTACTCTCAGCCAGGCGCCGTGGCTCCTGCCTGTAATCCCAGCACTTTGGGAGGCCAAGGTGGGCAGATCACAAGGTCAGGAGATCGAGACCATCCTGACTAACACAGTGAAACCCCGTCTCTACTAAAAATACAAAAAATTAGCCGGGCACAGTGGTGGGCACCTGTAGTCCCAGCTACTCGGGAGGCTGAGGCAGGAGAATGGCATGATCCCGGGATGTGGAGCTTGCAGTGAGCCGAGATCGTGCCATTGCACTCCAGTCTGGGCGATAGACTCCGTTTCCAAAAAAAAAAAAAAAGAATTATTCTCAAAAACCAGATATCCTTGAATCCAACAGAATATTGGATTGTAAGACACACTGCAACCATGGATCTGTTAAATATGGGAAAATGTACATTTTAGAATAAATCAAATATGGCACTTATTTACGTGAACAAGTTTGTTTTGTTTTATTTTCTGAGACAGAGTCACTGGAGTGCACTGGTGTGATCTCGGCTCACTGCAACCTCCGCCTCCAGGGTTCAAACGTTTCTTGTGCCTCAGCCTCCCGAGTAGCTGGGATTAACAGGGACCTGCCACCACGCCTGGCTAATTTTTGTATTTTTAGTAGATATGGGGTTTCTCCATGTTGGCCAGACTGGTTTCAAACTCCTGACTTCAGGTGATGTGTCTGCCTCGGCCTCCCAAAGTGCTGGGATTACATGTGTGAGTCACCACGTCCAGCCATGAACAAGTTTTTTTAATACTAAAATCTATACATACAAAAATAGAATTCCAACCACATAATTTTACAGTTTATATGTAACAATTATCAAAATTTTTATATTTGTTGTGGCAGTAAAAAATGTAATGTGCACTAATAATAAACGTAATCATAAAACAGAAGAAAAATTTTTTTTGAGACAGGGTCTCACTCTATTGCCCAGGCCAGAGTACAGTGGCATAATCACGGTTCACTATAGCCTCAACCTTCCAGGCTCAAGCGATCCTCCCACTTCAGACTCCCTAGTAGCTGGGATCACAGCTGTGCATCACCACGCCTGACTAACTTTTGTATTTTTTGTAGAGATAGTGTCTCGCCATGTTGCCCAGGCTGGTCTCAAACTCCTGGGCTCAAGTGATCCTCCTGCCTTGGCTTCCCAAAGTCCTGAGATTACAGGAGAGAGCCACTGCACCCAGCCAAGGAATCTTTAAACATATACATCTTTTCATTAAAAAGACATAGATAGGGATATAGTAAAATCTTAAGCAAAAAAACTTAATACTTTAGGATAAAATCATTTTAAGGGTATGAAATGACAATATGAATTCAGGGACTCTGCAAAATTTCCAATAAAGCAGCTATAATTTAAAGCCAATGATGCTGTATATAAAACTGCTATAGTATTTATTGTTCATGGAATACATTTTTTTAAAGTAATACAGTTTTGTGTATTTAAAATGTCAACATTTACAACACACCAGAAAGTATAACTTTTTCAATTATATAAAACTATGAGAAAAACTGTATTTGTCAACTTTGAAGTGTGAAGGAAGGAACTCTCGTGGTAAGGTGACATGAAAGCACGGGCAAGGCGGCCACACAGCACCTATTGTCATGTCGCTGGGATTCTGACCTGGCAGAGCCTCTGCCAAGGGTGACCCTGGCAGCATGACATACACCAGCAAGAGGCAAGGGTGACCTACCCAAGACCTGGAGGGCTCCCACAATTCTCTCGCCAATGAAAGTGTTGTAGCACTCCAGCGCAGCCAGGAGCAGGTCCAGCCAGCACAGCGTGGTCTGCAGGCTGAATGGCCCCCGCAGGTGCAAGAGGGTGGGCTGGGCCAGGATGCCTGAGGGCTGGCCACAACCGCCCCCTTCAAAGGTGTTGATGATAAAAGAGACACCTTCTTCCTTGAGAACATCTTTCAGCCACAAATTAGGGGATCTGTTGCCTTTAAAAAGAAACAAAATTAAAATACACACACATACCTACATTTCTTTAATCTAATCTTCGCACCTAAAATTTCAAAATGATATGGGACAATTTTTTTTCATTTTACTATGCATTCAATTTGTTTCACTGTAATAACTTCCAAGAATGTATTTCCAACACAGCCATTCTCTTCAGGTTCCTTAAACATTATAAAAACAGTAGGACACCATTTGGAGTAGCTGCATACTAATACTCTTTCCCCTGCCTTTTTATTTAAAAATCATTATTCCTTTAAGTCACAAAACAGTATTTGCAAATGAGAACAATAATATCTACCTCTTGGACAGTTACAAAGATTAGCAGAATTAAAGGAGTTAATATTTGAACATGTGCTTAGAATAACATCTACCACACATAAGTGCAGCGTTTGTTAAATAAGAGAATCCAATAAGCTGTTTTTTCCAAGAAATTTTCTTTTAAATATTAAACTTCTTCTAAATTGAAAAGACAAATACATAAAACTGCATTTTGTATGCTCTGAAATCAGTAGCACCGAAAATGTCAAATCATTCTGACTCCAATGAAGAATTCAAAACGTTATCTCTGATGTATTAAAAAGAGAACATTTGGCTGGGGGTGGTGGCTCAGATTTGTAATCCCAGCACTTTGGGAGGCTGAGATGAGCGGATCACTTGAGGTCAAGAGTTCGTGACCAGCCTGGCCAACATGGTGAAACCCCATCTCCACTAAAAATACAAAAATCAGCCAGGCATGGCGGTGCGCGCTTGTGGTCCCAGCTACTCAGGAGGCTGAGGCAGGAGAACTGCTTAAACGAGCGGAGGTTGCAGTGAGCCAGTATCATGCCACTGCACTCCATCCTCAGCTACAGAGTGAGACTCGGTCTCAAAAAAAAAAAAAAAAAAGAGAGAAAATTTTGTATATTAAGAGGAGGAATATTCTGTAATGTTCTGTTACTTTCACTAAGAGGAGACAAAGAAATCTGCAATAATGAGCAAAAAATAAATAGTAAGGTATTTAAATTTTACCTCAAGAGCGACAGTAAGACACACTGCAACCATGGATCTGTTAAATATGGGAAAATGTACATTTTAGAATAAATCAAATATGGCACTTATTTACGTGAACAAGTTTGTTTTGTTTTATTTTCTGAGACAGAGTCTTGCTCTGTCGCCCAGGCTGGAGTGTAGTGGCACGCTCTCACTTCACTGCAACCTCCGCCTCCAGGGTTCAAACGTTTCTTGTGCCTCAGCCTCCCGAGTAGCTGGGATTAACAGGGACCTGCCACCACGCCTGGCTAATTTTTGTATTTTTAGTAGATATGGGGTTTCTCCATGTTGGCCAGACTGGTTTCAAACTCCTGACTTCAGGTGATGTGTCTGCCTCGGCCTCCCAAAGTGCTGGGATTACATGTGTGAGTCACCACGTCCAGCCATGAACAAGTTTTTTAAATACTAAAATCTATACATACAAAAATAGAATTCCAACCACATAATTTTACAGTTTATATGTAACAATTATCAAAATTTTTATATTTGTTGTGGCAGTAAAAAATGTAATGTGCACTAATAATAAACGTAATCATAAAACAGAAGAAAAATTTTTTTTGAGACAGGGTCTCACTCTATTGCCCAGGCCAGAGTACAGTGGCATAATCACGGTTCACTATAGCCTCAACCTTCCAGGCTCAAGCGATCCTCCCACTTCAGACTCCCTAGTAGCTGGGATCACAGCTGTGCATCACCACGCCTGACTAACTTTTGTATTTTTTGTAGAGATAGTGTCTCGCCATGTTGCCCAGGCTGGTCTCAAACTCCTGGGCTCAAGTGATCCTCCTGCCTTGGCTTCCCAAAGTCCTGAGATTACAGGAGAGAGCCACTGCACCCAGCCAAGGAATCTTTAAACATATACATCTTTTCATTAAAAAGACATAGATAGGGATATAGTAAAATCTTAAGCAAAAAAACTTAATACTTTAGGATAAAATCATTTTAAGGGTATGAAATGACAATATGAATTCAGGGACTCTGCAAAATTTCCAATAAAGCAGCTATAATTTAAAGCCAATGATGCTGTATATAAAACTGCTATAGTATTTATTGTTCATGGAATACATTTTTTTAAAGTAATACAGTTTTGTGTATTTAAAATGTCAACATTTACAACACACCAGAAAGTATAACTTTTTCAATTATATAAAACTATGAGAAAAACTGTATTTGTCAACTTTGAAGTGTGAAGGAAGGAACTCTCGTGGTAAGGTGACATGAAAGCACGGGCAAGGCGGCCACACAGCACCTATTGTCATGTCGCTGGGATTCTGACCTGGCAGAGCCTCTGCCAAGGGTGACCCTGGCAGCATGACATACACCAGCAAGAGGCAAGGGTGACCTACCCAAGACCTGGAGGGCTCCCACAATTCTCTCGCCAATGAAAGTGTTGTAGCACTCCAGCGCAGCCAGGAGCAGGTCCAGCCAGCACAGCGTGGTCTGCAGGCTGAATGGCCCCCGCAGGTGCAAGAGGGTGGGCTGGGCCAGGATGCCTGAGGGCTGGCCACAACCGCCCCCTTCAAAGGTGTTGATGATAAAAGAGACACCTTCTTCCTTGAGAACATCTTTCAGCCACAAATTAGGGGATCTGTTGCCTTTAAAAAGAAACAAAATTAAAATACACACACATACCTACATTTCTTTAATCTAATCTTCGCACCTAAAATTTCAAAATGATATGGGACAATTTTTTTTCATTTTACTATGCATTCAATTTGTTTCACTGTAATAACTTCCAAGAATGTATTTCCAACACAGCCATTCTCTTCAGGTTCCTTAAACATTATAAAAACAGTAGGACACCATTTGGAGTAGCTGCATACTAATACTCTTTCCCCTGCCTTTTTATTTAAAAATCATTATTCCTTTAAGTCACAAAACAGTATTTGCAAATGAGAACAATAATATCTACCTCTTGGACAGTTACAAAGATTAGCAGAATTAAAGGAGTTAATATTTGAACATGTGCTTAGAATAACATCTACCACACATAAGTGCAGCGTTTGTTAAATAAGAGAATCCAATAAGCTGTTTTTTCCAAGAAATTTTCTTTTAAATATTAAACTTCTTCTAAATTGAAAAGACAAATACATAAAACTGCATTTTGTATGCTCTGAAATCAGTAGCACCGAAAATGTCAAATCATTCTGACTCCAATGAAGAATTCAAAACGTTATCTCTGATGTATTAAAAAGAGAACATTTGGCTGGGGGTGGTGGCTCAGATTTGTAATCCCAGCACTTTGGGAGGCTGAGATGAGCGGATCACTTGAGGTCAAGAGTTCGTGACCAGCCTGGCCAACATGGTGAAACCCCATCTCCACTAAAAATACAAAAATCAGCCAGGCATGGCGGTGCGCGCTTGTGGTCCCAGCTACTCAGGAGGCTGAGGCAGGAGAACTGCTTAAACGAGCGGAGGTTGCAGTGAGCCAGTATCATGCCACTGCACTCCATCCTCAGCTACAGAGTGAGACTCGGTCTCAAAAAAAAAAAAAAAAGAGAGAGAACATTTTGTATATTAAGAGGAGGAATATTCTGTAATGTTCTGTTACTTTCACTAAGAGGAGACAAAGAAATCTGCAATAATGAGCAAAAAATAAATAGTAAGGTATTTAAATTTTACCTCAAGAGCGACAGAAGGAAAATGATAGAAAGGACACAGAAAGGCAGATCGAGAGAGAGCAGCCAAGGGAACATCACAACTAGAGAGAGAAGCTGAAGACGCAGACAAGCACGCTTGGGGTTGGGGAGCCTGCCCAGCCCTACTTCTTCCTTGGTCTCCACTGAAGACCTGCTATTTCTGGGCCTGGGCCACACTGAGTCTCAGTATTCAGAAGCCACCAGGAGCTGTCTCTCTTGGACACACGTCAGAGGGACAACCCTGCACCTGTCGTCAAGTCCTACTGATCTGGGTGTTCATGTACCCAGGACTGCTGCTACACGGTGAGCTAAAGAGACACCTGACACAGACACTTAAAAACAACTAAAGGAAGCTAGATGCAATGGCTCACACCTGTAATCCCAGCACTTTGGGAAGCCAAGGCAGGAAGACTGCCTGGGGTCAGGACTCAAGACTAGCCTGGGCAACATATGAATACCAAGACCCTACCTCTATAAAACAAACTTTAAAATTAGCCAGGCCTGCTAGCCACGCCTGTGTTCCCAGCTACTCATGAGGCTGAGGCAGGAGGATCACTTAAGCTCAGTTTATGGCTGCAGTGAACTATAATCATGTCACTGCAACCTAGCCTGGGCAAAAGAGTGAGACCCTATCTCTTAAAAACAAACAGGTGCTGCACACCTGCAGTACCAGCTACTAAGGAAGTTGAGACAGGAGGACCACACGAGCCTAGAAGTTTGTGTCTAGCCTGGACAACATAGTGAGACTCTGTCTCTAAAACTGAAAAGGAAAAAAATAAAAGAAAACAAAAATACCTACTGGGGGATAAAATACCAAAGGAGAAAGGTGGCTACACCCTGGAAGGCCACAGAAGAGATAAATCAAGGAAGGCTCCTTAATGTTACACAAATTACCTGTTGGAAGAAGGGCAAGGCTCACCTACTACCTAGAAGCCTTTGTCCAACAAAATCAATTCTGAGAGGTGGAACTCTATTTAGTCCAGAATACATGAGGTCCGTATCATAGGCAACTTAGAAGAGAATAGCACTAGAAATGCCTGTGGTCAATACAGCTGAGGACACAAGAAATCCCATGCACTACCAGAGTCACAGACTCAATGTGAGATAGTGGTCTGCCCATAAGCAGCTCTAGCAACATGCTATCAGGGTCTCGGTTTCTACTAAATATAGGAAAAGTGCCTCCCACTGCCCTCCAGCCCTTCCCCAGCCACTGGTCTACTCTTCAATGAGAAATTTCACAAGGCTGCTGTGAGAATGACTTAACATAAAAAAAAAAAAAAAAAACAAAAAACTGTTAGCTAAACACATTTAGCGAATTGAAAATGCTAGGCCAGGCGTAGTAGCTCATGCCTGCAATCCCAGCACTTTGGGAGGCAGAGGCTGGCAGATTACAAGGTCAGGAGTTTGAGACCAGACTGGCCAACACAGTGAAACCCTGTCTCTACTAAAAATACAAAAATTAGCCTGGCATGGTAGCACACGCCTGTAATCCCAGCTACTCAGGAGGCTGAGGCAGGAGAATTGCTTGAACCCAGGACGCAGAGGCTGCAGTGAGCCAAGATGGTGCCATTGCATTCTAGCCTGGGCGACAGAGCAAGACTCTGTCTCGGGGGGAAAAAAATTTTTTTTTAAATGCTAATGTTTTTTAAACAATTATCTAAATTAAAACACAGATACACATTTCTATTATGTATGTAAAATGATATAGTACAGTAAATTTACACTTTATTTATATAGCGTATATAAAATAATTGAACTCAATTATAGTATGTATTTAAACATACTCTATAGTATATAATATGTAGTATATAACATTCTAATATATCCTATAGTATAACAAAAATTAGAGTCCTTCTAAGTTTTAGAAGCCCGGAAATTATTAAAGTAACTTTTTTCCTCTTGTTCCATGAAGAAAAAGCCCAGAGAGAACTCCACTCCAACTTTTGCCAAGGAACCAGCGCACCCATCTCACCCGAGGCGCTCTCCACGCATGGCACGGGGCTGTGACAGCCCACAATGGGGGAAGGCAGGACCTGATCTGTCCTGAGCACAGCTTCCCCACTCCCAAGCTATCAAACCTGGGTATGGACTTAATGGACAAAACTGAACAACACATTTATTCCTGAGAAATTATTTCAGTCTGTAAGCAGTTTAATGGTTTAGCAATTACTAAAAAGCACAGGTTCACTGCTTTCCTTTAACATCATAATGATTTGAGATTATTCAGACTTAGGATGCTGGCAATTTCTTATTAATCACATGCTGAAACAGAACTGCATTAACTCATCAACTGTTAACATTCTGAATCTTAACTGAATATCATGTTAACTGCAATGATCACCCAATTACTCAATTCTTCTTTGCTTCTTTTAAATGGGATAATAAAGCAAACTGTAGTAAAATTAAAGACATACAGATTACCATACCTGGCAATAAAGGAACGAATTTATAAAAGAGTTCAATGGATTTGTGTCGACATTCTGTCTGGGGCCTCCCACAATGAGCTAAAAGCCACTTGACCAGATCCAGTAAACACAATGACGTGGAAGGTGGAAATCCTCTGCAGAGAGACAGCATACTGTCATTAGTCCCTCTCCAACATGCAACATTCAGCTACCAAGGCTCTAGAAATCATAAACTCATCTTTATCACACAGATACATGTAGAAACCTCACTAAAAGGCATTCAACTTATTTTTAATTTATTATAATTAGAGTGCAATCAAAATAACATAGGTGAAAGGGGTCCTAAATGCTGCTCATGTTCATTTTTTCATGTGGGGAAAAATTAAAAAGTTCTCCTTAAAAGAACAGCACTAAGTATTTTCACGTTTCCTTTGCAACGTACCTTGTAAAGCAGTGCTTCTCAACGTGTGGTCCCTGGACAGCTGTTCCAACATTACCTGTGCACTTGTTACAAATGCAAATTATCTGGCCCTACCCCAGGTGTACACAGAAATTAAGGGTGGGGCCAGCCCAGCGATCTGTGTTTTAACTAGATCTCCAGGCAATTCTAATGCATGCTCAAGTTAGAACCAATGAATTAAACCGATACCATAAGTTAATAGTAGAATCTGGAAGAATCAACTTTAAAACAACAGAGAAAATATTAATCCAGTTCACACACAGAATTGTGCTTCTCCAGAGTGGTAGTCACTATCATGGACAATAGACGTCCCCAGACACCCTGCAGAGATCTGGAGGGGATCATGGAGGGCACTCACCCTATTGAAGAAAGCAACACCACTGGGATGGAATAAAGGCAAAAACTGGAAACCACTGGCCAACACCCCAGCCTTGGCTCTAAGCAGTTTCATTTTCTAATTTTATAATTCCATGTCTGTCAAGATACTACTATTTGAACATTCAGTTCATATACTTCAAAATTTACTGAATGGTTCATGCATATTCTAGTCAAATCATCCACATCAAAACATATTCAAAATTAGTGCATATTAAATAAAACGTCCATTACAAAACTAATTTTCAATTTGTATCTACTATCTCAACCCAGATCAAATACCTTACACCTTATCCCTTAAATCAAGTATTTTCAAACACAAAGCTTTTTAACGTTTTTTGAAAACGAGCTCTTCGTACTTCCACACATTCCTTGTTTAGGAAGTAATTCCTTATACTTCCACAGATCCATCCCAGGTTGTCCTTTATTAGCTGAGAATTAGTTTTATGTTGTGGGAAAAGACGGAAAAGGAAGCAAGATCACCTACCGTGGCAAACGTCGTTTCTTTGCTTTGTTTAAAGAAACATGCTTCTTTTCAATGATGCGGCATAGGTGATCAATGGCATCACAACACTGTTGAATTGTACCTGTTCTCAAGTACAAAGACATATTTCCAAAGAAGGCATATATAGTTGATTATTATTAAATTTGTATTATAAATTTGTTGGCCTAAATTTTTAACTGAAAAGGTAATTTTACTATAGATTTAATGCTTTCATCCCTAAGAACAATAAATTTAGATAAATACTTCACATTTCATATTCAAAAATGAACACAAAACCCGTATTTAAGGCTGCAGGATAGCATGGTATGCACACACACACACAAAGCAATGCCACACCTAACTAGAAACTGTACCACCACCACCTCGGCCACCCAAAGCACAGCTTCTCCTAATGGACCTGAAATGGAACAGACCTTGCAGGTATTACAAAACCCACATACCAGGCCAGAGCCTGTGGACTTCAATTTGTGGCTATTTTAAAGGGGTATAAGTTCTTTGACCTCCCTTCCTACGCAGGATAAACTATGGTATCGTTTAGTAATACAGCCTCTGGAGAAGGACAACAGAGGTAAGATGGTGAAGTCACCCAGAGAAGTCTGGAATTATTTAGGAAAGGAGCCTTATACATCTTATTTTGACCTGTGTCACCAAGAAAAAGTTTTCTTTCTATGTTTTTTTAAATATGTCAGTGATCACAAAAAAAGTTTCACTTACTGAAAAAATTCACCTATATGGGAAATCTAGATAAAGCAAATTTAAGCTATTTGACAATGAGGACTAAATTTTAAACATTTTTGCCCACAGTAGACTATCAACATGAAGGATAACAGAGCTCAGTTTGTCTTTTTAAAAAATAAACAAAGTCGCCGGGTGCAGTGGCTCACGCCTGTAATCCCAGCATTTTGGGAGGCTGAGGCAGGTGGATCACATAAGGTCAGGAGTTATAGACCAGCCAGGCTAACATGGAGAAACATCTCTACTAAAAATACAAAAATTAGCCAGGCGTGGTGGCAGGCCCCTGTAATCTCAGCTACTCAGGAGACTGAGGCAGGAGAATCACTTGAACCCAGGAAGTGAAGGTTGCAGTGAGCTGAGATCGCACCATTGCACTCCGGTCTGGGGGACAGCAGGAAAACCCCATCACAAAAAATAAACAAATAAAATAAAATAAGATAAAATAAGATAAGATATAAAATAAGGTAAAATAAAATAAAATAAAATAAAATAAAATAAAATAAGTCAAGACTTGTATCAGTGATAGAGTCCTGGCACAGCTGTGTGGCCCTCTCAGTCACTGACATGCCTGGGCCTCTGCGCCCCAACTACATCACCAACGGGGAGTTAAGAAGTCTTCTAGCTCAACAACTCTATGTAGTTCCTAAAAGCTTCTTGCATAGAATTTAGTTATAATCATTTATTACTCTCTTAGCTATTTTAGCCTACTTCTGACTTGGTATCTTTGTAATATTCCTTCACCATGGATGACACAACTTTATCACAGTCCTGTAATGAGACCCACTTTCTACTTTCTAAACGATCACGAGTTGAGTGCAGAAGCACTGACCACATCTCTGTGGTTATCACATCCAGCTTCTTCAGCACCATATCTGTACATTTTCCATGTTCTGTCATCACATCATAGCATCATAGTGTCTGACTGGCTTCGTTGTCTCCCCTGCCCTGGGCAGGATCTGCAATCAACCAGGGTCAAGCTCAATGGCCACCAGGAGTATATGGTGAGTCAAAGAGAATGAGGGCATGAAAAAATCATTAACAAGCTGGATTTGAGGCACTGAAGGGGCTTATCTTCTCTTCACATTTATTAATTTATAGAACTCTTGGCGGGGGGAAGCCTTATAAGAGAATCACACGAGCCTTAACTCCTCATTGGGGAAACTTTTCAGACCTGTAAGGCAGACAGAACACTGAAGCAAAATGTACCTAAGGACTTCTCATCTGCATGTGCTAAGGCCAGACTCTCCATGTATATCACCAAGGCTTCAAACACAAACTGTTCCACCAGAGACTCTTCTTCCCTGTAAAATAAAGAATAGGAAACCTCGCCTAAGAAAACAATAAAGCAGAAAGGACAAAGAAAAGGAATGGAATTAAAGAAGGCACACATTAATTAATTTTTTTTTTTTTTTTTTTTTTTAAAGGCTCAGCTGCGTGTGGTGGCGTATGCCTATAAAGATCACTTGAGCCCTGGAGTTCGAGACCAGCCTGGGCAACAAAGTGACACCCTGTCTCTACAAATAATTTAAAAAAAAAATTAGTTGGGTGCAGTGGTGCACACCTGTGGTCCCAGCTACTGGGGAGGCTGAGGCAGGAGGACCACTTGAGCTCATGAGGTTGAGGCTGCAGTGAGTCATGATCCTGCCACCGCACTCCAGCCTGAGCAACAGAGCAAGACCCTGTCTCAGACAAAAAAGAATAAAAGGGCTCAGTGTTTTAAAACATGAAACAGGCACGTGGCTCACACCTGCAATCCCAGAATTTTGGGAGGCTGAGGCGGGCATCACCTGAGATCAGGAGTTCAAGACCAGCCTGACTAACATGGTGAAACCCCGTCTCTACTAAAAATACAAAAATTAGCCAGGTGTAGTGGTGGGCGCCTGTAATCTCAGCTACTCAGAAGACTGAGGCAGGCAAATCGCTTGAACCCGGGAAGCAGAGGTTGCAGCAAGCCGAGATCACGCCATTGCACTCCAGCCTGGGTGACAGAGCAAGACTCCATCTCCAAAAACAAAAGAACAACAACAACAAAAAAGAAAAACCATGAAACAACCTAAAATACTTCTCAAAGATACTTCCTCAAGAAAAAGCTACATGAACCAAAGAGGCAACACACGCTCTTGTTTCCACACCAGTGCCTCTGTCCCTTGTGTCTGCAAAACTGCTCATTTGCCTGTGTGGCTATTATCTACATGTCCTTCTGAAATGTAACCCTCATGAAGGGCTGTATCGTTATACCTCCAACATGGGCACAGGCCTGGCACATCATTTTTTTTTTCCTTCAACTTTTAAGTTCAGGGGTACATGTGCAGGATGTGAAGTTACACAGGTAAATGTGGTACACAATATTCCTAATAAGGAATGCTGGATGAATGAATGAACACCACTACCTTAGGTCAGTGACCACTTGTCTTTTTTCTTGGACCTCTGAAATGGCCTCTTCACTGGTGTCCCAGTCTTCAGTCTACTCAGACCCACTTTCTACACAGCTGCCAGCAAGTGGATTTTAGGAGGAAATCTAAATGCATCTCTCTCTGCACCCACTATTCCACAGACCCTCTGTCACTAGAGGTGACCTACGCTCCTTGCTACTGCAGGCAGAGCCCTCCTCACCAGCCTCACAACACCTGCCTCCAAACCTCAAAGGCCTTTATCGCCTCAGACACCTTCCTGTTTCTTATTTCTACCCCACACCACCCCACTAACTTTGATCTAAAATGCCTTGGCTGACTTCCATTTATCCTTTAAGTCTCATTTCCAATATAAACCCTAGCAAGAGGCCACAGCTTATCTGCTCACCCCGGATTAGCTACTCCTCCTCTGAGAAACCCAAAGCCCCTGTATGTGCGTCTTTTGTTGCATTTCCAAAATGGCTGAGACAGTGTTTATATGCATTTCTCAGCAGTTTCCAAGCTTCTGGAGTGCAACTGAATTTTAATTCACTTTTTAATTTTCAGAAGACAGCACAGCATCCAGCATATAATTACTTACTAAATGCAGGATATATGACACACGAATACACAGAGTGAAATTCCAAGTCACTTTTCAAAACCACAAGTTTCTCTTCCCTGGGGTGTAGCTTTACAAACCTGAATTCCCTGTAGATATTATTAAAGGCGAGTGACGCTCCCAGCCTCTTGAAAGCATTAGGGTGAAGCGCAAGGCTGTAAAGTCGCTTGAAAAGCGATTTGGTGTTTACTGGACTCTTCTCCTGCTGCTGTGGTGTTATTTGCTTAATGGACCATTTAAGGAATTCTTGAATACACCGACCACAAAAATCTCTTAAAGTACTGTCAACAGGGTCCACAATTCCATCCTGAAACAAAACAAAGAGACCTTGATTTTACTAATTTTTATAACCACTGACAACTGAATACCCTTGGTCTATTTCTAAGCCTAACTAAAGTAGGTTAAAAATTAATTTACAGCACTAGTCAAGAAAAAAATAAACATTAGTAAAACCAATCTCCATAGTGTATCCAGAATCTAGGCTTATATAACTATTTCTTTCTGACATAATGAAAACATTTTCTTTTAAACAAATTAATAAACTGAAAAGCCGTGAAGGGAGAGAAAATTTTAATTATAACAAAACAATCTTTCCCCTCCCTGAAAAAAAACAAAATGGCTATATCCTAAGAATTTCAGAGGAATTCTGATTGTTGATTTTACCCCATAACAGCATTCGAGACGCTTTGCATATTGAAGTTAAAGAGAATAAGAAGTTCCAAAGAAACTGTACTGCTCCATAAAGGAAAATCCTATGGACACATGAAGAGCAGTCCCCATAAAGGCCCTGCCGAAAACAGCTATGGACATTTGACCAACGACCACACAGAGATGTATTCTACTTTACGCTTTGTTTCTTTCTAGTCATGACGCTCTCTCGGATCTATAAAGGAAAAGTTTAACTTGAAAATGTACACTCAACACTGAAATAAAAGAGTTCTGCCTGACACTTCCAGTTATTTGCTATACACAAATCCTTTCTTGCAGAGGTAATTAGAATCCAAAAAGGTAACACAAGCCACGGGAATGGGAGGAGAGGGTGCTTCCTGCTTCTCAGAGCAGAGGTCACCGGCGCCATATGGTGATGCAGGGAACAGCAGCTCTCACCAGGAAACCCACAGCCCTCCTTCACTTGAGTGCTGTGCTACTGAGTTCACGCTGCTGCTTTACCTTTTCTTTCCTCAACTATCTCATTTTACTTCTCAGATTTCTTTCTGAAGCTCTTACTTAATCTACCTTCAAGGATCAAAAGGGAGAAAAGAAACAGAAAACAACTAAAATAAAAACTTTTTAACAGAAACATGATAATGAAACCATCTGAATGCAAATAAGCCATAAATTAATTTTAACTAACTGTATTTATTATAGGTAGGATTCACTGGTAGACACTGCAGGGAATTAAACTACAGGTTTAATTATGTCACCACCCTAACGAATGTTCAGTCACTCTCCCCTGCCCCTAACATGACTACAAAGAAAGGTCATACTCAGAGTACACTGCCAGCAGCATAACCAGGACTGTGCAGGTGACATAAACTTATTTGCACAGGTTCAAAAATTATAGTAAAATAAGCATCAAGACACTAGAATTTAGCTGGCCTCACTGCCTCTGCCCTCAGTGAGATGGCGACCAAATGCTAAGACGCAGCTTCTCTGTGGCAAAAGAGTTCTATGTAAAAGGTGAACTGCTGCTTCCAGGGCCCTTTAGTTATTGAATCTGAGTATAGGAGAAAATTGGATATGCTCAGAAATTCTTCATATTGTTTGTTTGTTTTTGAGACAGTCTCACTCTGTCGCCCAGGCTGGAGAGCAGTAATGCAATCTCAGCTCACTGCAACCTTTTGTCTCCGAGGTTGAAGTAATTCTCATGCCTAAGCCACCTGGGGAGCTGGAACTACAGGTGTGTAACACCACGCTCAGCTGATTTTTGTATTTTTAGTAGAGACAGGGTTTCTCCATGTTGGCCAGGTTGGTCTCCAACTCCTGGGCTCATGCAACCTGCCTGCCTCGGTCCCCCAAAGTGTTGGATTACAGGCATGAGCCACTGTGCCCGGCTCACCGCTGAGGTGGGTGGATCACTTGAAGTTAGCAGTAAAACTAGCCTGGCCAACATAGCGAAACCCCGTCTCTACTTGAAATACAAAAAATTAAGCAGGCATGGTGGAGTGCGCCTGTAGTCCCAGCTATTCAGGAGGATGAGACAGGAGAACTGCTTGATCCTGGGAGGCGCAGGTTGCAATGAGCCAAGATCATGCCATTGCATTCCAGCCTGGGCGACCGAGCAAGACTCTGTCTCAAAATCATAAATAAATAAACAAACATCAAATACAACTAATCAATGGGAATAAGAGGAAAAGAATCAACTATTACTTACCAATATAGCTTCTAGTAAGGCGACAGTATCCTGACTTTCAAATTTCTTATTGTTAGTGAACCAGTGAATCAGCTGCATAACTAGTGGCTCGTACAGCTGCCTTGTCACCTGAAGAAAGAATATCATTAAAGTTAATTCCCTTCATGTTAAAGAAATGTTACTCTGTAAAGATTTCCATTTAAATGCCATTTGCAGTATAAAATTAAGCAATACTACTACCATGGTTGTACTAGTTTCCTTTTTTAGTTCAGGCTCAAGTGGTCCTCTCCCACTTCAGCCTCCAGAATAGCGAGGACTACAGGCATGTACCACCACACCCAGTTAACTTAAAATTTCTTTTTAGTAGAGACAGGGTCCCACTATGTTGCCGAGGCTGGCCTTCAACTCCTGGCCTCAAGTGATCCTCCTGCCTCAGCCTCCCAACGTGCAGGGATTACAGGTATGAGCCACCATCCCCAGTCCCATTAGTTTCCTTTTCCAGTTTAATCCCATGATGAAGAGTCCAGCAAAGAAAAATATGCAATTGAAGCTCCCTGTTTCTCTGATTGGGAGGACAATTTAGGATAGATATTGTTGGGTTTTTAATGCTCATCTTTATTCATTTGATCTTGAACATGCACACAAGATATCCTGGATTACAGACAGATCCTCGCCATTCAACTATTATACAAAGCAAATAATAACCCTGTGGTTCCCCACAGCCTAACTGTCCCCCATTGTGGTGACACAATGAAAACCCAATCAATGTGCTATATACACAAATTCAAAGCCTGTACCACAGGGGAGGAACACAGAAAAACAGATTTAATCTGTTTATATATAGGACAAAGAGGAAGCTGCCTCCCCCACTGCTGCCAAAAGGAAGGATAAAAACCTCTATGGAGATGGGATGAAAAGGATCCTAGGTCTAATCTTCTGGAACATAAAGAAAGCCACTCCAGGAGCCAGAAGTCCCGTACTCCCCGGCTTTGTAAAATCCAAGATGTCTCCAGGCCTGGGCTCCTCCCTTCTGACAAGTAAATCCATACCCAAGAAGGCAGAGATCCTGTCTTCCTGGAAGCTTGGAAGTGTAATCTAGTGGCCTGGTAGAGGTGTGACCATGTGGCCATCTTGGGGCAGTAAGAGAAGTGGATCAAATCAATTAGCTAGACAAACTGCTACAGATCTAATCCTCATTATACATGAGAGTAAAATGCTGGCCAGGCACAGTGGTTCATGCCCGTAATCCCAGCATTTTGAAAGGCCATGCCAGGAAGGTCTTTTGAAGCCAGTTCAAGACCATGCTGGGCAACATAGCAAGACCTTGTCTCTAAAAAAGTTATTTTTTAATTAGCTGGGCATGGTGGTACATGCCTGTAGTCCCAGCTACTGAGGAGGCTGAGACGGGTGGGTGGCTTGGGCCCAGGAGGTGGAGGCTGCAGGGAACTACGATTGTGCCGCTGCACTCCAGCATAGGTGACAGAAGGACACCGCATCTAAAAAAAAATTGAAATGGCCAGGCACGGTGGCTCACGCCTGTAATCCCAGCACTTTGGGAGGCTGAGGAGGGGAGATCACTTCAGGTCAGGAGTTTGTGACCACCCTGGCCAAAATAGTGAAAACCCTTCTCTGCTAAAAATCCAAAAATTAGCCGGGTGTGGTGGTGGTCGCCTGTAATCCCAGCAACTTGGGACGCTAAGGCAGGAAAATCGCTTGAACTGGGAGGTGGAGGTTGCAGTAAGCCAAGATTGTGCCACTGCACTCCAGACAGAGTAAGACTCTGTCAAAAAAAGTAAAATGCTTGTGGTGTAAGTTAAGGCGAACACTCCCTACACTGGTATCCTGTACATTTCTGCCTCAGAGGCCAGGGTTTTTATAGGAGCACTGAGCCAACCTTTATTCCCCCCAGTTACTGAGCTCACCAATTAAGTACTTTGATATTAGAGGTCCATACTGTAGTTAATATCACCTCAAAAATGATGCAAAATGTCCCACGGCTCAGAATAAGCAACTCAGAGACTCTTCCAAATAGTCTTTCCAGTCTTTGAAGGTATTTTCCCCCCAATACCTTCACTGGCCTCTATGAAGCAATTTTGAAGATTAATCAATATAAAAGGGTCTTAACTTTCAGTCTGAAAGTTTAACCTGGTCTTAAAGCATCACTTTTTTTTCCACAAAAGAATCATACTGTTTTATTCTTAGTACAGAAGTTTTTTAATACATGTATACATAGCTAGATATATATACAATATACACATACCCCTTTATAGAAAACCATCCCTCTACAGTCCTACATCCCAAAGGTAACTACTGTCAACTTTCAAAATATTTTATTTATATACTTTTTTTTTTTTTTTTTTTT